TCTACTTGCAGAATTTTTATTAATAAAATTTCAAGTTACGCACCAGGAGAATATGTTGCTTGCATTTATGATGCTCAATGGCATTTAGGAAATATTCTTAGTATTTCAGAAGAGCATCAAGATCTTCATATTAAATTTATAAAAAAATTTTCTTAATGTAAAAAATTCACGTGGCCATGCAGAGATGATCTCTGTTAGGTACCCTGATGCATACTTTATGCAAAGTACAATCTCTTAAGGTCCAGTCTAACAAAGGAAAATTTTATAATATTGATTTAAAAGAAATCAATGAGATTATTTTATTATTTGAGAAATTTAATTTTTGTGAATTTTATTAATTTTGTTTATTGTCTTAAAATAATTGTATGGTCTAATAGACCATAAATAGCTAAAAAAAATTTCAACTGAAATTTGAAGTTATATATAAACAAATCTCTTAAAATATTAAGTGTAATACGTTATTTAAAATGTTTGTAAATTTTTTTCCTCACTACAATTTACAAATTGCAAGGCTGTTCATTTTTTATTTATTAAAAATTGCGTTTTAAAGGCTTTTTCTATTGGGATTATAAGGCTATAAGCTTTGATTTTTTTAAATTATTATTTTATAACAAATATTATTTAATTCAAATCATTTATTTTGTTAACTTCAGATTTTTTTATGGAAAATTTACCTGACTTTTAGAGACTCTCTTTTGGGATTATAAATAAATGCCCTTTAGTTTTGTTTTTATTAATGAACACTCTTTGATTGATGCGTATAAGAAAAAAAAGTGCCATCTTAAGTAATAGATGCTTTACATCGCAGATCAATTTTAAGAAAATCTTGATCCTACTCATTTTGATGACCTATAACTTTTGAATTCAGTTCTTTTATCAGCTGTTTTTTTTAAATATTTATCCATCTCATGTAAATCAACTGGCAATTTGATTTATATTCATTTTTGAACTAGTTTTTAAAATTAAGCTCTTTAAAATCAAATCAAATTTCAATCTTAAATCAAAAATATCAACTTTAGCCCGCCATTATGGAAAAAGTTTAAACGCCAAAATTTAAATTTTTGTTCTTTTAAAAGTATCCATAGCATACTTGCTATCTTAAAGTAATTGAAGTATAAAGTTTGTTCAAAAGTTATAAGCTGTTAAAATGATGCAAAAAACCTTTTTTCTTGTAGAGTGAAATTTCATGCAAAATATCACGTGGGCACGAGATCGAATTTTATAGCGGTTTGATGCCATCATTTCGCATATTTTTTCTTTTTTCATATTATTGGTGGCATTAATCCACTTTTTTTGGAAGTCCTCTTTATTTTTATTTATTTTACTTGTCTTACAAAGAACTCTTTTAACTACTGCCCAAAAATCTTCAATCTTACGCTCTTCAGGACGATTTGGAAGAATTGTATCTCTAGGAACAATTTTCACATTATTATCTTTGCACCACTGTAGAACTTTTTTAGAATAGTGAGAAGCAGAAAGATCTGGCCAGAAGAGACATCGGTTTTTTCATATATTGCAAAAATCTTTTTTGGAGCCATTATTTGATGTAGAGATTCTTTTTAGTGACAAAACAAGATGCAGGCTTGGTCTGGAAGCTGGTGCGATCGCATTCGAAAACTGACAACGGAAATAATATTTAGTTGCAAAAAACCGACCAGATTTTTTAGTCGTTTTGTTTTTCCACAAAATAATAATTAAGTTCATTATTTTATCGTAAATTTTAAAATATTTTGTTTTACGGACATGGAAACATACATAAACTCGTTTGTTCTTAAACATCTTTGTGCAGAAAAATAAAAAAAGAATATTTGCCAACACAAAAAACCCGCCAAATCTATGAACAACTAATTCTATTTGCTCAAGAAATACTAACCGAAATTTCTAGAGTATTCAAAAAATACTTACCGAATGTTTTTGAGTATTCTGTTAAAATATTTTTAAAAATTGTATTATTTGAGTTTTGTTATGTTTTTGTTGAGATTTCTAGTATAAATTATTTTAAGAATCAAACGAACTCAAGTTTTAAGATCAAACAAACTATTATTTTAATTCTCGGAGCCACATCTACAAAGCTATAAATGTTTTTAACTAACATTTGTTTACAAAAATAAATGTTTTAAATTTATATTTTTTAACTTGTCAACGTTTTGTAAATATATTATAGATTTTATTAGTATATTTTTATTTTTTATATATAAGGGATGTATTTTTTATGTATGTAATGTACTTTTATGTATGTATTTTTTATGTATGTGTATTTTATTCAAATGTAATATTTGAAAGCAATATGTGTGATTGACTTTGTAAACAAAAATACTTTCAATTATAACTGCGTTTTTAATGAATTATTAATAATCATCAAAGTTAATTCAAATAATTTTAACCACTAATCCATTTTCCTCAGTGTACCTGATAACTGATACTTTCCCACAAGAAAGAAAAGTTTTGAAGTTCTTAGAAATTGGTTTACTAACTTCAATTTTTACTTCAGCAACTCTTACAAACTCGTTATACTTAAACTTAAAGTTTCTTTTTCCTGTTTTAAATACTAATTAAAATTATAAAGCCTATTTACTAAACATCATCAGTGGTATTGTAAAGCAGTTCCGCTTCCTCATCACAAAGTAATATAACCTTTTTAGTTAATTTATGTCTAGCTAATTGAATTTCTACAGTAACTCAATGATTTAATTATTTCATTTGTTCATCTTACTTAGAAGAATTATTTCAAATGTGTTAACTTGTCAAACTACGCAAAGCATAAAATAGTTATTGAAAAAAAAATTTTATTTATAAATAAATCATCTAGCAATAGTTTTATTGGTTGAATCTTGTTGGACTTTTCATGACTGGGAGCCGCATTATTTTGGTGAGCTTTTTTATGTGCCACTGTGTAAAAGTAACCGGGAAATAGTCAAGAGGACCAAATGGTCCTCTTGACTATTTCCCAGGGTTTTAGTCCATCCCCCCCCCCCCATACCTCCTCAATCAGCACTGGAACTAAGTCATAAGTAAAAATTATATATACTCTTTAATAAATCGAATAACATTTGTTTCCATTAATAGTAATTTATTACTTTATATAAAAAAAGTCGCTTAGTTTTATAAATAAAAATTATAAAAGAACAGGGCTGTGGAGTCGGAGTCGGAGTCAATTTTACCGTAGTTGGAGTCGCTAAAAAATATCGCGACCCCTGTAAAAGAATGACGTTTCAAAAATATTTGCTCTAATCGTATTTATTTTGCTTAAAGTTTTTTCGCGTTAAAATCTATTTTTCTTTCTCTGACTGTCTCTCATCGGCCCAGTTAATCTTATTGCGCTTTTTTGTTTGTTTTTGAAATATTCTCAAAACAACTAAAAAATCTGGCCAGTTTTTGGCAGCTAAATATTATTTCCATAGTCAGTTATTGAGTGCAGCTATAAATTGCTTGCCAACAAGGAACTTGGATGCAAATTTTTCTCGTTGAATATATATTAATTGATCATCGACAGGTTTATCTTTGTTCTCATAGTAAAGTTGTTGACCAGGAAGTTGCGAAAAATCCGCCTTGCAATATATTTTGTCATCTTTAATTATACACATACTTTTATCCGCCATTATTTTAATCAACTTACTTGCACATTGAATTTCTTTAATTTCATCATTTAGGCTTCTCTTAGATGTATTTTTTCTAATGAAATGCTTTAATTCCAGCATTTTTAAGTACTTTTGATATAAGGACGCAAAATCTTGAATTTTCTTGCTTCATCTTGCTGTAACTGGTTTGGATTTCTTGCTGTTTAACGTAAAATCGACCTTTTTAGATTTATAAAAAGTTTTCTTTCTTCCACTTCCAGGTTTTCTTTCAAAGCTTTGAATAGTCTTATAATATCTATGACTGTAGATTATGGGACAATTGTACGTTTAGCAATCAAGCAATATGAAATCAATGGATTTTTGCAAAAAAAATTCACAATTTATTTACGCAAATCAACTTGTTTCCGAAAAATTTTGCAAATCATTGATTTGTAAACAATTTATCTTGTATGTAAAAAGTTTTATAAAATAGTTGATTTGTAAACAATTTATCGTGTATGTAAAAAGTTTATCAGCACAATTAAAGATAAGAAAGTAATCTTTAATTATAAAAATAATAGAAATAAAAAGCATTTGTGGTTTTAAAGAAATCTCAATTTAAAGTTGACTGGATTTTTCCATGTCCAACCGATAGCTCACTACTTAAAAAGCGTTTTCTCAAGAATTATATTAGATATTGATCTTAAATTTTCAAATCATGCTTTTCTCATATATATGTACAAAATCCAAAAGTTTCAATAAAATCTAAGATGGTCCATGGGGGACCTTTGCTCCACTTGGCACGGAATGGCCCAGAAATTAAAAATTATACAGATATTGAAAAGTTAAATTTTCAAACATTTAAAAAATATGAAACTAATAAAGTGTTATTAAAAAAAATAAAAAAAAATTATTAAGAAAATTTAAATAATTATAGTAATAAATAATAATTAAAATGTCTAATGTCTAATGTCAATGAAATAATTATTGTAAGTAATGAAATACAAAAAGTATTATACAATGTTTATCAATTTTAACACCAAGTAAAACATTTTATATCAATAATATCTATTATTTAAAGTATTATCAATTTCATTTTATAAAAATTCATTAATTTAGCAATTTCAGCATTCTCATGATTTGAAATTTTAAACTTGCAGAATTTGAAATAGATAATAAAAACTTGAAGAAAAAAGCTTCAAGTTTATCTATTCTATTTGTAAAATATATTTGTAATTTTCCATCAGGGTCTGCTTAAGTCAATATTTTCAATTGCGAAAATGATTATTAAAAATTTGCGAACTTTAATTTAGAATTTTTTTTTTCTTTAAAATTACTCCATAAACAAAAATTATAAAGTTTTTTTTTTTAAAACTCCCTACTTTTTTTGAAACACCCTACTCTTTTTAATGTGTATGAAACCATTAAAATTACTTTTTATAGGTGTAGCTGATGAATCAACTGCTCACATCAAAGAACTAGTACAGCGACAAAGATCGACAGGACGAAACTCGAATATTGTTGCTGTTAAACAAGTCAGAGCAACAAAAAATATTATTCCAAGTTTTGTTAGAGTAAAAATATCAGAGGTGATTCATTGTTTTCCAAAGGGATGCAGTTCCAGTGTTTTTGATTTAACTTGCCAGAAAAAGTTCGGCAAAAAAATTGACCCTTCTTATTTAGGCTTACCAACTCTTAAAGCGGTATTGGATTTATGTCCAGATATAGTTTCAACAAAAATTTGCCTTTCTGAGTTGTTCATTTACCCAGGTATAAATTTATTTAGTCTCAAAGGCATTTTAAATTTTAATGAGACAAATTCTTTTTTTATATTAATTTTTATTATTCCTAAATTTTAATTGTTTTTCTTTTAATTTATGTAATTTATTTAAAAAAGTTTTTCATATAACTTAACTGTCTTTTCTTTATTTGTCTAATTTTATATTGCAAATATATATATGGATAAGGTTTAGCCAATAATAATAAACAACTAAAGTAATGTGTGTAATTGATAAAATTTTTAATCTTTACTAATTAAGTATACCATTATTATTATTTTCTCCAATAAATATTATTCCTTTTCCTGACCTTTAAATAAAATTTTATGCTAAAATTTTATGCACGTTCGTTGTTCTATTTCTAAATTTCTAAATTCTGAAAGCTGATATATATAAATATATCTAAAATGATATATTTATAATAAAATAAGTATTTTTAATAAAATAATTACTATTTTTGAATTTTTTTTATAATTTCACTTCATTTGAAGCCCAATAAAACTTTTGAAAAACTTTTTTTTAATTAAAATTAGGGACCTAATTAACATTTAAGTATCTCTAAGATTATTTTTTATTCTAAAAAACTTTAAATTCAGTGTTATTTTATCATATAAAAAGCACTAAGATGTACGCTACAGATATTTTTCAAAAATGTTGATTTTTAGTTCCACCCTAGGGAACTTAATATTAGAAATATTATTCTTTCCGTTCAGACTGAAAGTTTCAGTAGCAACAACATACAGCTTATTTATTTGTATTCACACAAACAATCTAATAAAAAAAAAAATTCTTTAGAAATTGCATAGATTTTCTGTCATCTTTTATACTTAACCTAACAAATTGTCAAAATAATTAAATTAGTAATGTTGTTTTGACAATTTGTTAGGTATAAAAACAACATAAAAACATTTATGTTGTTTACTAATTAGTAAACAACATAAATGTTGTTTACTAATTAGTAAACAACATTTATGTTGTTTACTAATTAGTAATTACTAATAGTGAAATTATAGACTTATTAGTAATCAGCATTTTAATAGAGTATGTAGTTATTACTGCAAAATTACATTATAGACTAGTTTGTAATAAACATTTTAATGGAATATGTAGTTACTACTGCAAAGTGACATTCTAGACTTATTAGTAAACAATATTTTAACAAAGTACGTAGTTATTACTGCAAAATGACATTAAAGACTAATTAGTAAGCAATATTTTAACAGAGTATCTATTTTTTTTTCTTTTTTCAACATCTTTACTTCCAACAAGACTGCAAGCAACCACTATTAGAGTTGGAAGTTACTGAAAGGGAATAGATGAAAATTATAAAGAAGATTACAATTAAGAGACAACTTAAAATATTGCAATTTATAAGAATCAGGAAAACAAGATGAAGGAAGTGAATTCTAAAGAACTTATGTTTGAGGAAAAAATGAGATGAATAAGAATTTTTGAAGCACTTAGGAACAGTCACAGTAAAAGGATGAGACTTAATTGAGTGAGGAGTAACATTAGAATGAACTTTAGTAGATGGCACAAGAGACACTAGCTCTTTAGAGCAGTGCCATTATATTATTTGTAGAAAAGAGAAAAAGAAGCAACATTACGACAATGCAATAATGGTTAGATGTTGGCTGCAAGAGCAGGTCCAACTATGTTTACAATGCGTTTTTGCACTTCGTCTAAAAATGGAAAGGGCATCATTGTGCGAATTTGAGATTTATCAAGATAAATAATAGAATCCTGAGTAGAGAGTGGCAAGCAGGATTAAGAGATGCAATCTTAGCATATGCTAATTTTGCAATCGATTTGATATATGGTTTTCAAGAAAGATCAGAAATAAAAATTAATCCAAGAAGACAGAGGGTAGATGACTCATCAAGTACATTATTGTTCATAAAAATAGGAAGATCTAGATTATTGCGAAAACAAATGTTATTCCTTTTACAGTTTTAACATTATTTATAACAAAGGGTTCAGCCCTTTGTTATAAATAAGTTATAAATTAAACAACAACTTTTCATCAAACTTTAACAAAAAATCTTATCACAAATCTTAACAAACAAAATCAGTGCATTTGAACTGTGGAAATATTTTAAAGTTACACCAAAGTAAAGGTGGCTCCTACATAATGTAACTTCTTGCTTAAATCAAGCATTTTCTTTAGATAAATACCATAATTCGAGAGTTGAACTTAGGAAAATAAATCATAAGTATTGTATTAAGCAACTGCGCAAGTTTTATAAATATGAAATTAATAAGTTAAGCCAAACTTACACTTTCGAAAGGTTTGTGAATCTGCACTCAGGTTGGCCTATTTATCTATCTTAGATGCTCATGGTTACACACTTGGGCAGATTTTTATCATCTCAATTTCTTATTTAAATAAGATATGCAATTTTTTACAAGCAGGTCCCCTTCCTGCTGTTAACGTTTTTTTCAAATTAAGACTGAGAATTTTTATTGTGGTACTACAAGGAAGATTATGACTCAAAATTTACGAACTATCTTTAACCATAATTAGTTAAGAGGATTTTGTATCTGAATATTTTCTTTACCTAGGTAATTTATCTTGGGAAGATAATAATAATTATCTACCCAAAAATTGAAAATAATGACCCCAAATGCAGTTGTTGAAATAAAGCAGAATGCTCCCTGAATAATAAATCCACAAACATTGTATACAAATGCATCATCACAGCTAAAAACCATCTCAACAAAGTTTATATTAGATTATTGGAAGGTGAATAGAAAACCAGGTATAACAATCACAAATCATCATTCAGTAATGTTTAATACAAAATGTCCACCGCTCTATCAAACTATGTCTGGGAATTGAAAAACAGTTTTATTGAAACCCCTATATTAACATGGTCTATTTTGAAGTCAATAACTCCCTACTCAAATATTTCCAAAAGGTGCCCACTATGTCTATATGAGAAATTCGCTATTATATCGTATTCAAAACTTGAGGAACTGCTAAATAAAAGAACCCAAATTGTATCAAAGTGCCATCACAAAAATAAATTCTTATTCAAAAATTACAAAGTTTGCTACAAACCTAATTAACAACAATGACTATATTATTCTACCTCATATATCTCTAGACTAACTAATAAATTACTCACATACATAACTTAAAATGCCAGTTCACAGGGTCCTAATATATATATATATATATATATATATATATATATATATATATATATATATATATATATATATATATATATATATATATATATATATATATATATATACTATATATACCTAGTGTATATATATATATTTATATATATATACTATATATACTAGTATATATATATATATATATATATATATTTATATATATATATATATATATACTACTATATATATATATAGTGTATATATATAGTGTATATATATATATATATATAGTGTATATATATATATATATATATATATATATACATACTACTATATATATATAGTGTATATATTAATATATATATATATATATATATATATATATATATATATATATATATATATACACATATATATATATATACTAGGGCCCTGCGAATTGGCATTTTAAGTTTCGAATCGAATTTCAAACCAAAGTGGGTTTTGATTTACAAATCGCGAATCGAATCAGCAATAATCTTTTTTCAAAAAAAAAGTCTACTTAAAAATTTATTTTGAATAAACTTTTAGCAGTTATTTGAAAGCAGTATAACAGTTACTTTCAATTACAATTACTTTACCCTAAAGATAAATAAGATAAATAAAAACATTCAAATGAAAATAAATATTTTGATAGCATCTTAGCGTTGGATATCTGAAAAAACAACAACACACAAAATAAATAGTGATTCTAAAAATTCGAATCATTTTTTTCCAATCAAATCTCATATATATATATATATATATATATATATATATATATATATATATATATATATATATATATATATATATATATATATATATATATATATATATATATATATATATATATATATATATATATGTGTGTGTGTGTGTGTGTGTCTGTGTGTGTTTATTTGGTTTAATTTTAATTTTGTTTAATGTTTATTTTAAAAAGCTTCAAAAAAAAGTGAACAGAAACCACCATCTCTGAAACCACCATCTCAGGATACATTTAAGCAAAAAAAAATCAATTTTGAGACACCTAAAGTTAAAAGTGGAATTCCTGAAGACATCAAAAAAGAAGTTTATGTGGTAAATTATTTAACAAAAAGTTATACTAGTTCTAAGCAATTTTCTATTTTAAAGTTTTATCAAAGAATTATTATTCAAAAGTATTTTTTATTATAAACTTAAATAAAATAAGCGTAAATCGTTCATCAACACAAACCAATCACCAATGCATCCATCACTTTATCCTCAGCATCTTTTTTAGTAGGATTTTGAGATGTGAGTTGATGGCTTTTATGAGTTTATGACTGTTTTTGTGTACGTTTTTTGCTTTTTTTGATTTGAGTTAAATTGCTTCTCTTCTTTTGAGATGATCAATAACATTGTGTTTGTTAATACTTTGTTTAGAAACATTTGGAATATTAGATTGTCTGGATTACTGAGACTTACTATACTATTTACTATATATAATAGTAGGACTACTATTTTCATTTCATTTTCCATTTCTTTTTTTATACTTTTGTGCTTTGTATTTATCAAATCTCAAAGCTGGTGTTGCTGTTCAGAAAGTAATGGTAAAGGTTAAGTTAAGGTTGATGGGGTTGATTACATCCATGGTTTAAAGTTTCAGAGATAACTAATGTCTGTTACTTGATGTTTTTGTTGAGTGGAAATAACCCAATATATTTAAAACCATTAATAAAGCAAGTGGTAAAATATTTGCCATATGCACCTGTTGGTGCAAATGAGTAGAGTTTTTTTATCTAATATCTTGCATTTTGTTCTTTTGTAATTCATTTTAAGATCTGCTTTTCACACTTGTATATTATGGCAATAAAACTTGTATAACATGTTTATAATAAATATGAGATGAATGAGCTAGTAGGCATATCAAGACTCTTATTTTATGACATAGAAATACCATTAAGAAATAAACTCAAGCTGTACGCCATCTTGATGCAAAGTATATCACTAATTTTTTGGCATTCTGGTAAAGTAACCTTTCTTTGAACATTTAATAATTATATCATGCTTTATCCAACTAAACCTAGAAATTAAATATTTTCCCAGTTAAATTACTTAAAGCCCACTCAGGTTAAAGTTTTGCTTTCTTTACTTCATTGATCTATGTACCATCATTGGTACTGTTTGCTGCAAAGTACAGTTGTTGAGCTTGATCCTATGAAACTTAGTGTTGAGAATGGAAATCAATATGGAAAATGGAATTCAATATTGAAAATGGAATATAATATATTCAAAATTTAATATGAATGTAATGCATTTGATTGAAGTATTTTATTTTTCTCAACTCAACTTCCACATTTTTTTAAAAATATTAATAAACTTTTTATTTGTTTGCAAGTAAAAGTTTGTAGAATGTAAAAAACGCTCAAGCAAATCCATTAATAAAATTTACGTTGGTTTCTAATTCCTTATGAACAATATAAATTGATTATTTATTTGAATAAACCATTTTATCAGATAAAATTTGAATTTAATTTTTCTAATATTTAATATTTTAGCTTAAACTAAAAATATGACACCATCTGACACCATCAAATATGACACCATCTGACACCATCAAATATGAAACCATCTGACACCATCAAATATAACACCATCTGACACCATCAAATATGACACCATCTGACAACATCAAATATGACACCATCTGAATCAGAAACAAATTATTTGCAATATATTTTAAAATTATTTTTGCTTGAGTTTTTTAAGTTTTACAATTTGCAAATTATATAAATTTTTTTTTCTATTTCGGAGAAGGAAAAAAAAAAAGGAACAATAATTTTGAGATTTTCCAATCATAAAATATGTGTATAATTTTTATGTTGTTATTTTTATAATTTTTTATTATAATTTTAATTTTAATGTTATGATCAAATTTGAGGTTGAAGCGAGACCAACATACTTACCTAATAAGTCAAGTTATGTTTTAGTGAATGAGGTTTCTAATTCTAAATGGTAAACTAATTCTAATTTTAATTTAATCAACTTTTAGTTGATTAAGTTAGATTAGTTGATTAAATTTCTCTTTTTTAAAGGTTTTAAGCAAGCATTCCTCTGGTATTTGGTCAAATCAATTTCAAATTAAATTTAAGGTATCATATTATTTTTGATATTTTTGAATATGTAGTTTATTTTGAAATTTATGTTATTAAACTTGGTACATATTAAAACTCATGCATGTATAAATATACATATAAGGTACATACATAAAACTTATGCACATATTAGGTAATAGGTACTTGATATATACATTAGTAAATTTATAACTGATTTAATATAATAAGTAGTTAGCAATTGAAAACAAAGTTTTCGTTCAACCTGAGACTAAACCGATAATTGAGACTGAATATGAAACAAAAACCCTAACAGACGGAAGATTAAAAGGAATTTAAATTTATTTAATATAAATTTAAAATTTTCAATTCAAACAGCATAATAGCGTTATGCTTTTTAAATTCTTTAATTTCTGTTTTTTTGAAAGTTGTGTTGATATTTGCTGCATTGTTTTTAAATAAGCTTGTCTTTTAGCTCGCATTTTTATGTAAAGTTCTCTTTGAAAAACGTTTTGCTTAATTTTTTATTATTTTTCACTTCTAATTCAAAAGTTTGTATTAAAAATGCACGATGACATCAAAATCCAGAACCATTTATAATTGATCAAAGCTGTAAGGCTTTGATGTTTATTTCAAAAATATGAACATTTTGACCTTTGAAATTATATTTGAGCTGTTTTTGACACATTCTAGGTTGTTGCTTTAATCTTTTTTATGGTTTTTCATTAATCATAACTTTGCTTTTTTTTGTTTAGTGAAAAAGAGTGATATAAAAATATATATATATTTATGCGCAAATGTTTAATAATAGGTACGCAATGTGTATAAATAAACTTGAAAAATATTTAAGAAAAGAAATTAATTCGTAAAAAGCGTGTTGAAATTACATGTTTCATTCAAAAATAGTAAAAGCTAATTCATTAGGTTCTTTTTTTATTACATATCTCTGTAATACATCATTTTTTTATAGGAGATTTTTTAATTTTTTTTACAATCAACCTATTCCTGTACATCATTTTTCCAAATCAAACTCATTTTCTAAAAAATCATTTTCATCTTCAACAACTTCATTGGAATCATTAGTATAATGATTATTTTTCTTGATGCATTTCTTTTTTTTTAGTATAAAATGTTTTTATGGTAAAGTATGGTTGTAACATAATTGCGGATAAGCAGAAGACAATATCTTGAATTTTAAAATAGTTAAAATTTATTTTAATTAAAATAATTCTAAGCATTTTTATATTCTTTGCTGATTTCTGTTGATAAAAAACTAATTATATAAATTATCTAAATGATAAGAAAAAATCTACGGATTTACATAAGTCTGTTTACAAAATTTATTATACTATTTTTAAAATTTATTTAATCTTTTATTGGTTATAAGAAGAGTTGTAGTTGGAAATAAAGTAAAAAATTATTAGCGATACTTAGTAATAGTTATCAAATCTAACAAAATACTTACACTAAATTATATACCTAACCCTTTGCGGATATCTACATGCGTTGTATTATGGCGTTTTTATTTTATAAATAATGTTTGAAAATTTAGAATTCATTTTTTTTTTTTTGCACTGAATATTATTTATGCCATTTGAAACTCCCTTGACATTTACTTATAATTACTAAATCGTTAATTGTTACTTTACAATTACAGTTATTAAAGTGATAAAAAACACGCTTCTCCACTTGTCAACAAATACTCACTTAATTAATTCACCATAGATTAGTAAAATATGTACGTAAAATATAATAAACAATTTATATTTTATTTTATTTTATTATTATTTTCCTTAACATTCAAATTTGTTTCAGTGAATTAAATTTGGTGGAAAGACAACAAATTATAATTTAAATTAAAGAGATTGCAGATTGAACTTGATGTTAATGTGCCAACAAAAAATTGGTAATTTTTTTTGAGAAATATCAAATACTTTCTTGAGAAATGATAAAAATTAAAATATAAAATTCCTTAAGAAATTCTTGAGAAAGAATTCTCAAAATAAACACTAGTCTGTTGGTTGATTAAAGGCAAGAGATGGGATCTTGATATAGCTACTCATCTTGGATAAATGTGAGCTGCATCCAGCTACTGTTTTATAGAAGGCCTTCTAGACAAAGGCTTTAGTATTAAATAGAAAAGTTCTGTTGACCAGTACTGCACCTTTCACCTATTAGGCTGGTGTAGGTGTAAACTTGTTTTAAATTGTTTCCAGCCTTGGATGATAAATGCTGGATCTTTTTGACTCTTCTCAAGGGTTTTACTTTATTAGTGGGTTTGCTTTTCCTGTTATTTCCTAATGATAATACGGCTCTATTAACCAGTTTAATGGTTCTAAAGCTTGCTTGTAGCTAAGTCTAGTAGTAGTTATCAGACAGGCTAATTCCATCAATAGCTATAAAATATCAGAGTATTGATAATGCTAAGTTCTACATGGATTGTGTCCCTGTTTGTGCTTTTGGAGTGTATTGTTAAGGGCACATGAGGAGTTTTTTATTACGACTTTAAGTTAATTAGTGGGACAGAAACAACTGCATAACTCATTGCTTAGGGTGTCATGCACTCTGAATCTTATTTCTTTCAAAGTTCACAAATGGGTGTTTTATCTTCAGGGCTCAGTGTTGACGGCGATCTTTTGGTTTACAAAGACTGCATTAGTCACATCATTGTCACTTTTTATATTTAAATTCTGTTGTCTAATAAAAATCTATAATTAGGAGAATCAAATAATGTGGTCATTTAAATTATTTAGTTAATCAATTAATAAATTACAATTTTTATGATTTCATGTTCAAGATTATGAAAATCAAGATTTCAAGATAGTTCAGTTAAGAACCAGTATAGTAAAGTCTATAGTAGTGTAGTTTTAGGTGATTTAAATAGAAGAAATTTTAAAATGCTTTAAAATATATTAAGTGTTTATTCATAAATTACAGATTTTTAAATTAATTTTTAAAATTAAAAAATTGATAAAGAAAAAAAATAATGAAGTTTTTTTTGACTTAAAAGAAAAAAAAGTGAAAGTTAGAGTTTTATGTTTTCAAAATTGCTATGGTTAAGTGAGTAAGTTATTTAAAAAAATATCTTCCTGTCTAAAGCATCTGTAAAAGCTAAAAAAACAAAAAAAATTTTAACCTTTGTAATCTTTGGTAACTTTACTATTTTCAAATAAAGTGGACCAGTGGCCATCCTAATAAAGTGGACCAGTGACCATCCTAATAAAATATCAAGTTTAGCTGTGCCCCAGGTCAATTACAAGTTAAATTTTAGTTTTTGCAGTTGGTTAATGTTTTGTACTGGTTAATGTTTTGTACTGCTCTAATATCCCACTTCAGCTCTTTTATGATAGCTGTCTGGTCTTCTCTGGCTGTTAAGTAGCAAAAAATGCAAAAATGTAAAGTTACAAAAAGTATTATGTAAAATTTCTGCATTTTGGTAAAATATCTGCTTTGTATTATATTAAAATATTTGCTTTGTATTATATTAAAATATCTGCATTGTATTATATTAAAATATCTGCATTGTATTATATTAAAATATCTACTTTGTATTATATTAAAATATCTGCTTTGTATTATATTAAAATATCTGCTTTGTATTATATTAAAATATCTGCTTTGTATTATATTAAAATATCTGCTTTGTATTATATTAAAATATCTGCTTTGTATTATATTAAAATATCTGCTTTGTATTATATTAAAATAGATGTTGTAATGATCTGTGAAATGAAAAAGTCTACTGAAATAGACCATACCAATATAAAAAAAGACCATACTGACACAGAAATAGACCATACCGACACAGAAATAGACCATATCAACACAGAAATAGACCATACTGACACAGAAATAGACAATATGCATTTGTATACAAATAAATTTATATTTGTATATTAATGTATATACAAATATTGATGCAAATTATGTATAAAATACCACTGGTGATGCCATACTTTAATAGATATCTGTGGTGTATAGATTAGTGCATGGATCTTTATCTGCAAAATATTTCTCAATTAACATTGACAATTTTTAATCACTTTTAAATGAGGAGTAAGGAAATGGCAAACACAATAACAAGAGGCAACAATGCTAACTTTGCAATGGATTGTATATATGGTTTCTATAACAAGTCAACAGTCATAAGATAATCTGACATAAGTTCTAAGTGATCAAAAACTGATGAACTTGTGTTAAGAGAATATAGTTGTATTGTCTCCAAAGTTGAGTTTTTTTGGAGTTAAAATTTACAAGCTACTGTGAGCCCTACTCTGTTACAGAAGTAAGATTAGATTCAAGATTGGCTGCCTGTTCTAATAGGAAAAAGAAAACCTTTTGTCAAGACAGTAGTATAAAGTTGAGCCATCAGCAATAAGAGCTACTTTTAATGTAAGATTGTCTGGAAGATATAGAAAAGAAACAATACATGACTAGAGATAGAGCCTATTTTATAGGTTCTATTTCTAGTACATTTAGTATGCATTATATTTAAATGCATACTAAATGTACATATAAATATAAAGATATATTTATATGTACATTTAGTATGCATTTAAATATAGCACAAATGTATTTAAATGCAATGTTTAAATGAATTTGTGACTCTGGCATGTTTTAATACTAAGTGTGTAACTTTTTTCTAAATTACATCAATATGAATGAAACTCTTGTTAGTTTTTAGAAAATATATTGAGCTTATTTGGATACATACTTAAACACATAAAATAAGAAAGGAATACAACAGGACTGAATTTTCTGAATAATAAGCATCTATGTGAGGATGTTTTGTTTGTTAATTTACAGTAAGGCAATCATAACTCAGAATATTGGTTTACAGATTTATTTTATTTAGTTAAGTTGAATATAGATTTTAAATATAAACTCCTCACTTTCTCAATTTCTTTTTGCAGTACATCCATTATTTGTCAACAATATCAAAGTTCATTCCTGTTTAAAATTTGTTTTTTTTTTCTCTCTTCTTTACATCTTAGCTTTTATGTTTTTAAGTCATAAAACTGATAAAACAACTTCAATACAGTTTTTAACTAAAAAAATAACAACAAGTCCAGTACAAATAACAACAAGTCCAGCACAAAAAAAAAACAGTTTCAGTACAAATAATAACAATTCCAGTACAAATAATAACAAGTCAAGTACAAATAACTATAAATACAGTACAAATAACAACAAGTCAAGTACAAATAACTATAAATACAGTACAAATAACAACAAGTCAAGTACAAATAACTATAAATACAGTACAAATAACAACAAGTCAAGTACAAATAACTATAAATACAGTACAAATAACAACAAGTCAAGTACAAATAACTATAAATACAGTACAAATAACAACAAGTCAAGTACAAATAACTATAAATACAGTACAAATAACAACAAGTCCAGTACAAATAACTATAAATACAGTAGAAATAACAACAAGTCAAGTACAAATAACTATAAATACAGTACAAATAACAACAAGTCAAGTACAAATAACTATAAATACAGTACAAATAACAACAAGTCAAGTACAAATAACTATAAATACAGTACAAATAACAACAAGTCCAGTACAAATAACTATAAATACAGTACAAGTAACAACAAGTCAAGTACAAATAACTATAAATACAGTACAAATAACAACAAGTCCAGTACAAATAACTATAAATACAGTACAAATAACAACAAGTCAAGTACAAATAACTATAAATACAGTACAAATAACAGCAAGTCCAGTACAAATAAAAATATCCAGTACAATAATAGAGTTAAAATTTACTGCTTCAGTAATATTTGAATGTTGTAATTTTACTAGGATGCAAATTTTGAACAGTTTAAAAATTTATCGCAGTAGTTTAAAAAGACTACTCCAGTATTATTTATAATTTAAGTTATTATCTAAGAATCTAATAAAAAAAAAAACAATTTGGATATTTTAAAGGACCTTAAACAATTTTCACTATTTTTGCTTTAAAGTAAAATTGTGTTGACTTATTTAATAACTTTTTTATTCTGTCAATTTTTTTTGTGGATATATTTCAGAAAGTATGGAAAATATTTTGATCTATTTAAGGAAGTGCACAAAAAAGAGTTTGATTATCAAAAGTTTGGTTTTAGTAGTATAATTGAGTTTATGTCAAAATTACCTGATTTTGTCTTGGTACATCGACCTGTAGTTACTGGTGATTGGATTTTAATGCCTATTCATATAGGTAATATTTCGTATATATAATTTTATCATCATCATAATCATCATAATCATCATCATCATCATCATCATCATCATCATCATCATCATCATCATCATCATCATCATCATCATTATCGTCATCATTATTATCATCTTTATTGTCATCATTTTAATTTTTTTTTTAAATATATCTTTAATTTTCAGATATGAATAAAAATCTTTCAACTCCTAATGACGTGGTTTCTCCTAATTCACATTATTCAAATTATAATCCTGGAGCTATTGGTGATCTTGTTGAAGTTTATATTTCTCACATTATTGATCCATCTTCCTTTTGGTTTCAATGTGTAACATTAATAGACAAACTAACTTCTTTAATGAATGATATGAAGTAAATCATTTTGTTACTTTTAATAGTTATAATTTTGTATACCTCAATCTTTAAAAATTTTGCATGTAATTTTGTGTATTGTTCTATATATTTTATTTTTACATTTTTTAATAGATATGTTTGTTGTAAAGATATTTATTTATTTATTATTATGTTCTATAATATTCTATTTAACTTTATGAGTGTAAAGTTATATGCATTCTTAATTCATTACCTTGTTTTATAAAAATTCTATCAATGTAAACAGTTAATTTTAACATAAACTTTGGTAAAAGGTGTGTAATGATACAAGCTAGTTATCACTATGACTTCATTAATGACATTATTTCAGATAGTTTAATAAGTTAAAAAGGGTTCCATTAATGATACACATTGTCCTCCAACATGTACCTGTAGTATGTACTAAATTCAACATGTACCTGTAGTATGTACTATATTCAACATGTACCTGTAGTATGTACTATATTCAACATGTACCTGTAATATGTACTATATTCAACATGTACCTGTAGTATGTACTATATTCAAGTAATTTTATAAATGGGAAATGTTTATTTTGCAAAGTGTCAAAGAGAATAGCGCCCTTGTTATTAGAGAATGTTGCATTATTTCTGAGAGAAGTGTTAAAAATAGTTTAAATCTAAAATACAAAGTTTCAGTTATAAATATATTAAGTTCTTACAAAAAATAGCAACAGTTTGAAAATCTGTATATATTTGCTTTGTAATGTTACCAGTAATCAAAGTTATTTATAATTATATTTAATTCAATATTTTTCTGTTAAAAATAAGTAGTTATAATACTAAAATAAATGGAACAATGTGTATTATAAAAAGTAGACTTTCCTTCTCAACAAAAAAACTTTTTGGCAGCAAAATGTTCTGACTTCTGCCTCCCTATTGGCAACCTAAGTTTAAGAGGAAAAATGTTTTGGAGGCTGACTCCAATAAAGAGACAGAAGCCTCTAAATTTTAGTTGCTACTTTTAGTGGCTTCTGCTTATCAACTGGCTGCAGCTGCCAAATTGGTGGTAATGTGTTTTTGCCTCTCGTTACCATAATTTATAAAAAATATTTTAGCATTTGTTTTTTCAACAAGCGGTTTTAATATTAATTAGGTGCAAATATTAAAACTTGACATCAAAGTTACATTATATATTATTTAATGCCAAAATTTTGACTATTTAAAGAAACTTTATTTACAGTGTAGTGCACATATAATGACTGATATAAATAGGTATAGACGCAATGAAGTTTACATTGACTAAGAGTTTAGGTTTGGGCTAAAGATGTTATAATAGTTAATAGTATTAAGTATTTTTTTCATATTTTTCAAACATTTTATAATTCAGTTAACATTCTATTAATTAACAAAAAGTATTTCAATATTTATTTAAATAGAGTTATTAATTATTTTAATAATTTTAATAATTTCAATATTTATTTAAGGGGTTTATACATTTATATATTTTACATTTAAAAAAACTTAAATTAAATTTATATAAAAAAAATTATTAAACTACGCAACTAACTTTAACAATCTAAAGTAATTTATAAAACTCTTGTTGTTATACTGACACTTGTTCCTGAAAGACACCAAATTGACACTACGAACTGACACTTGTTCCTGAAAGACACCAAGTTGACACTATGAACTGACACTTGTTCCTGAAAGACACCAAATTGACACTATGAACTTACACTTGTTCCTGAAGCTTCAATTTAAATATATCAAGGATTATTTTCTCAGGTTTGGAAGTGCAGTGAGAGATTTTTTATTGTGGTACTGCTTTTTAATTAGGTTGTTGAAGCCAACTTATTTGAGAAAAAGTGATAATTGTTTGTTGTTAAAGTTAATTCATTCAACCAATTGAATATTAGAATTTTATTGAAAAAAATTTTTTATAACTATCTCTATCAAAGTTAACTGTTTTTTTTTTTTTTTTGATGTACCTATTATTGCTGGTACCTTGGAATTTGTAAAAGTGAAAGTGCCCTTATTTTACTTCCCACTTACAGACGGAGTTGCAGTTAACACAGTGCTTGTAATAATATAATGCTCAGAATGTTTATTTATAAATTGTTTTCTCAAAGAAGTTGTAGCTGGAAACAAAAAAACAAACTTAACCTATGAAAAAACTTACTTTAGAATCACTAACAAACTAGTAATAAGATTTTTTTCTGGTGCGACTTCTGATTTTTAAAAAGAGTCTATGAAATGTATGAGTATCTATTTGAAATAAGTATAAGGGTATAAAATGTATGATCCATTTGAAATAAGTCTAAATTATTTTAAATTTGTTGATGTCTACTTACTACATTTCAATTATCTACTCTTTGAAAAAACAAATAATAAATTACAAGTTGTAGGTAAATAATTATAATAAATAAATAGTTTTACTTATTTATCAATAATGTACAATATAATTTTACTTGCTTTCCTTTTTGTTCATTACCTGAGATCTTTCAACACCTTGTTACACAGCGTACAAACTGCCAGTTTATTGCTTTCACTACAAATTTCATAAAATTCTAAATAGGTAAATTTTTACTTAATGATGCTTGATAGAAATTAAAACAAAAACTAGACAAACTTTATTAGGGTTTAAGTCAAGTAAAAGAATACCTGTAAAGTTACCATTTTGGATTTCAGTATGATTAAAAATAGTGAGTAAAAAATAATATATTATTCATTTTCACATTATCCATAGCAACCACATAGTCCAGTATATTTCAAGCCATAATTGCATTTTGGGAATGCTATTGCCAGTTTCTTTACTACACCTACTTTTCTTTTGAACACTTGCAACTTAATAATTTTAGATGTGATGAAATTGTTTTTGGAGGAGATAAGAACCCATTCAATGATAGGTAATTTGGTGATACTTCCAATGTTTCGCTCCAGATCTGTCCTCCTTGAAACCTCCTTGAAAAGTCTTTTAACATGTTGTAAAAGAGCTGCTTGTGTTTGAAGCAAATCTTCTATAAATTTCCTTTTTTTTAATAAAAAAATGCTTTCTTGTGAACAGACAAATAAAGTGGTGCTGCTTTGATCATACATAAGAATTGTGAAACTATTTAATAATTTGAAATAGATGCTGGTGGAAAGGCAGATGTAATTTATCCAAAATTTTACCACTATTCCAAATAGTTCAAGTATTTCAAGCAGATTTATTTTGTTTTATTGTTAAAGAAATAGTGTCCCAATCAGAATATGCTTGAAATACTGGTAGCAATCTGGTTTTTTGTAGACTGAGAAAATATGCAAACAAATGTGCTGGTATGTATCTCAAGCTTGAAGAGACACCAAGAGCAACCCATAGTTCATTAAAATGTAATTGATAAACAATAGATATTTTTGGCTCTTCTAAGCCAGTTGCTATGTCTATGTTTTTTTTTTTAATTTTAGATTTTACAGCATCTACATGAATGAATATTCTGGTATAGGCATTCTCATGGTCTCAAAATCAATAACTTAAGTAATTACATCAAGTAATATAGAAAGTACATCTTTGCTATATGACATAACAATTTGTTTCTAATCGAAAGATAATTCTGAAATTCATAATAGTAAATTTATAAATTTACGAAAGTATATAAATAGTTACGTTTTATTGTCATCAACATTAAGAAACTTTTTTGAATTCTAAACATTTGAAAAAAAAAGTTTGAAGCAAGTCATGACTTGCACCCACGCTTTACTAACTTAATTTGTTCAAGCAATTTTAGGCTCCACATTAGTAAAAAAGTAAGATAATTTTTAAATACATGAATATCTTTGAAATGATTTTTTTTTTTTGATGGTTTATATGGTTTATATGAGTTTATGGGTTATTTATTTATTAATTTTTTTATGTTTTTTTTTTATGGATTATAAATTATAGGTCATTAGGAATAAAGTACTATTTTTTATTTTATTAATCTGAAAATATAAAAAAGATAAGTTTTTAATTTGTTTCATTCGAAACAATCTTAAATTTTTTTATATTTATTTTGTATATTTATTTGGTACTCAAAAGAAACAAAATTATATTAAAAATTCAAATATATTAATAATTGTTATATAAAAATAATTTTTTCATACATCATTGCATAAAAATTGTTTTTTTTAAGCTGAAAATAAAAGTCAAGTTTTTTTAAACATTTATTTTATGTAAATAAATTAATTTTTTTAAATTTTTAATACAATCTCGCTTCTTTTAAGTACCAGGTTGACATATTTTAGAAAAACTTTTTTTTTCAAAATATTAGGGACCCGTCAAATGTTTAAGGGTCAGGGGTCAGCTACCCCTAAATATATCTTTTATTCAAAAAAATTGTAAACCAAGTGTTTTTGTATTATATAGAAGACATTTAGGGTTGTGGAGCAGATTTTTTTCAAAAATCTTGTTTTTTGGACCACCCTAAGCCAACCCATTGAGTTAGGCTTTAAGCCAGCCCATTGAGTTAGGAAAAATAAGATCAGCAGTTTTTTGAATTTTTTAAAGTATTAGGTCAGCATCAGATCAGCAAAAAATTTAGATAAAGGGTTTGAAAATTTTACAAAAATGCAATATTTAACATAAAGTTGATAGAAAAACAAACAAAAATGCATTTGAAACTTGCATTTAGCATTTTATTAGAAATTTAAATAAAACATTACTTTTGTCATTTTTATTTTATTTTATTTAGAATTAAATAAAATGTTTATTTTTTTACATCCATATTAATTGTTTACAATATAAATAAAAGGTTGTTTTTAGAATTTAAAAAGAACATTTGTTTTGCTGTTTTATTTAAATTATTTTATAAGAAATTGAAATAAAACATTTGTTTTTCCATTTTTATTTTTATTATTTTATTTAGTATTTAAATTTTTTTTTTTTTTCATTTTTATTTTTATTAATTAATTAAGAATTTAAATGAAAAGTTCTCTATTACATTTTTATTTTATTATTTTTTTTATTTTTTATTTTATTATTTTATTGAAAATTTAAATAAAAAGTTCCTTTATTCGTTTTTTATTTTAATTACTTTATTTAGAATTAAAATAAAGCATTCGTTTTGTTTAATTTATGTGAAATTGCAAAAAATTTAAGTTTTAAAATTAATGTCTAATTATGCTTGCAATAATTTACAAACAGTGAAGATGTTTGCTAATAATTATGGAGAACTTTATCAAAAAAAAAAAAAAAGTTTTGTCAAAATCAAAAGATGAAAGATATTAATCAAAAAATTATACATGTCTTTTTATCCAAGAACTGTCTTGTAGCATTGTGCTACAACACATTTGAGGTGATATTTTGTTTCTCGTGCAATAAGGTCACCTTTACTTTGCTAATAGGCCTGAATCTTGAAACTCCATGGCACATTTTTAAATATTCTAACCAAAACATTGAAGCATTTTTTAAGATCTAAGTATTCTTTAAAAAACAGAATGACTTACCAGACACAGAGCCATCTACAAGTTTTTTGCTTTGTCATGTGTATGTCTGAGGACCGTCTAGAGTTAGCAAATGTTCTGTACTACCAGAGATTTTTCCTTTTTTCTTTCTTTCAAGTATTTTTGTTTTAAATTTTGCTCTGTAATTTTGGTTAATCTAGCATAATGTTTGCTCTGTACTTTAGCTTAATCTAGCATTGAAAAATCTAATGGCAATTATTTAAATATGAATATGAATCAACCTTTAATTAGTTATGAAACAACTATGTGAACTGAGTTTGCTAAAACCTGTAATATTTTCAACAAATGTTTTGTTTCAGTTTTTCTCCAGTATTTTCTTGACATAAGCAACATAAGTTCTCATCAATTCTGTTTTATTAAAATAAATAAAGTGATAAATATAAGCACTGATATATATAGTTTTATGATAAAAGTTATGTTTTTAGATAAAAATGGTTTCCTGATGTATGAATAAATAACATTAACATGTTTGTGTTATAATGTGCAATATTGGTCTGTGTATAACATGTTTATAGATATAAATTAAATATTACAATAAATTATATAATCTCTAAAGTGTTAAGCTATCCATTATTTCTCCTGTGTCAGCGTAACAACTTTTATATTCATTTACACAACAGTTCTTTGTGCGGAAATAATGTCAGAGTGGGTTGTAGTATTGCAGTCATTAATGCTTGTCCAAAAAGAGCTATACAAATTGTTAATAATTTTCCCAAGAGAATTATAGTGTTGTAATCATTAAACCATGAAAGTGAACGTATTCTGCAAAACATTTTTTTAAACATTCATTTTGAATTCCAAAATGGCAACCTTAATCTGATTCCTTGCCTCCTTATATTAAAAACTTTGTGTAGATTGTATTTTAATTTCCACAAAATTTCATTCTTGCATCAAATAAGAAGCAAAGCCTGTAAATTTTTATACAGTATGTCTTTACTATAACGTGTGTAAAAAATAAACATTATCAGTAAATACATTGATGTAACAATCAACTTACACCTAAATAAAATACTTGTCATTCGCAAAATGTACTAAGTTGCTGAATATTCAACTATAAGCTGAATAAAAGTTATCAAGGTATCTCTAATAATAACTTTGACCTATAAATGTTTAAAAAATTATTACAAAATTTTCTTTAAATATGATCTATTTTATCCCTTTTTCAAATACTTTTGAATTTACATAGCATATAAAAATGTAGCAATTGAGAAATAATACTCATCATTATCAAAATACAACCTCAGTTTATTAAATAAAATTTCAAAAAGTAACTGTTATTATTATTATTATTTTTAATTCCTTATGTGCATTTTATTTTTTAGTGCATTTTGTTTTAGTGCATTTTACGAAGATGAAGTTGCTTCTAAAGATTATGAGTTTACTTTAAGTTATTTAAAAGCAGAAACAGTAAAAAAAATTTTCTTTATTACATTTCTTTAATTTTTTTAATTATTTACTATTCAATTTTTATTTTATTTTACAATAATAGTACTAAGTGCTCCCTATGATCAATAAAAGTTTAAGTCATTTGCTCAATTTTTAGACCCCTCTCAATGGGTTCTAAGATCAAATTTTCACCTCAAAAATTCATATTAGTATTACAGGTTTAATCCTCTTATTTAAAAATAAGGTTGTTTAAGTAAATTGGGATGTCTGTGCAGTCAATCTAAGCAATAGTTTAGCAAATTACAAATTATTAGAACATTTAAATTCAGAATTTTTTTTTTACCAGATTCATAAATAAAAATTACAATGTTGTCATCTTTTAAAAATGATATGAAAGTTTATTTTTATAAACAAACTTAACATAGATTTATAACAATATGAATTTGCATAACTTTTAATACACTAAACATTGTCAAAGAAACATGTCAAAAAATTTTTCACTTGTATTTAGAATTAGAATAGAAAGCATCAAACACCACTTTTATTGCTCATCTGGACATGCAAATTTAGATATCCGATCTGAAAAAAACCAAACCGGCTATCCAATATTTTTTTTTTTTTTTATAAATTCTGGATTGGATCAAGAGTTATTAAAAAATTGGATATTCAGATCTAATTTGGTTTTTTATAGTTAGTAAAAATACAAGAATTTTATAAGTAACTGAACAGAATGTAAAGTGTTTATAGCTCATAATCAAGAGATTTCATTGGTTCATCACTGGCCCAAGCGACATTATTAAAGAATATCAGCGTAAAATTATTATTATTTTAGCTTTTTGCGCCCTTGTCTGTAAATGTTCATAACCATAACAGAGTTAAATTGTTCATTAATAATAAAGATTAAACTTTAAAGTAGTTTAAAAATAAATACACATTTAGTTGTTAGTAAATACAATATCTAGATACTAAATTTATTTAAATTTAGTATCTAGATATTGTATTTTTTGTATTTAAATTTTTTTTTTATAAATATAGAATATCAGATTATAAAACTATTCTTCGTGCTAATGTGTTTTTAAAACACATGTGGCTTTGAAAACAGCAACTTAGTCACTTAAACAAAAAGTAAGAAATAAATGTATATTTTTTACAACTTTAGAATATTGTTTATGTACATTTTTAATTAATTTGATATTAATTAATTTAGTAAATAATATCTAAGTACTAAATAAAAATTTCAAAAATATTGAATGAGTTTAAAATGCGTTAAAAGTGTTCATTTTATCTTTATTAAAAGAAACAAACTTTTTACTTTTGTTAAAACTGCTTTGTAGATTTTTTACATGTATGTATGCTCAAACCATTTATATACTTTTGTTCTTTCAATAACATTTTTTAGGAAGTCCAATTTTTGCAAAATTAAATATTTTTCTGGTTAGAAAAAAAATTAAATGCACCTTGATCTCTCTGAAATGCTAAAAAAAAAAAAAGTGTTTTTTTACACGCACTTGGCTAAATATATCGATGTTTTTTTTGTTTGATTTGTTTTGGATTCGGATAAATCTGGTTTCCGATCCAGTTTGAATGGATACTCGGATAATCAGATATCCATTAAAATTGGATCAAATAAAAAGAAGAATTTTAATTATCCTAAAATCTGGTATCAGATTCGGATTTTAACAAATTGGAGCGGATATCTGGTTTTGCTCACCTCTACTGGCATGTACCTCATCATGTGTGTCAATTCTTGGATAAGTATCCTGTTACATGCATTTTGAATTATCTCTCAGCACAATCATTTACAACATTTAATATTTGTATAAATGTTTTTTTGTGTGTTATTATCAAGTGTTTTATCACAAAGAGCAAGTATAACATTGGTGGGTGGGAAATTTTCCAAAATTTAGTAAATGTCCCCCCCCCCCTCCTTTTATTAGGGACTCAAGACTAATCAAATTGCTATTGCCTTTTTAACTTTAACTTTTTTTATTTAGAATTTAAATAAATCATTTGTTTTGCTGGGGTTTTTTTAAATTTGTTTATTTAAATTTTAAATAAATGTTTATTTTGCTGTATTTCTTTTTTAATATTTTAGTTTGAGTATAAATAAAACTATTAAAAATTTTTTTTAAAGTAATTTATTAAAGATGTTCATTTACAATAAAATAGAAATTAATTTTTGTTTTTGCTGTTTTTATTTTAATTATTTTATTTTGAAAATAAATAAAACACTTTTTTTGCCATTATTTTATTTAGAATTAAAATAAAATTTGCTGTTTTTTTTTTTTATTTTATTTAATAATTGAGTTTATTATTAAATTAAAACAAATGGAATTTATAATATAATTCATTTTAATATAATTTTGATGTTAATTTGATATTTTTAACTTTTTGTATTTCAAATGTTTTTCTATTATTTATTATTAAAGTTTGACAAGCAATTACTGCCGATCAAATTTGATTGGACAGATTTAATTTTAGGAGATAAAAATGTCAATTTTTTAAAAAGTAGCCAATCATTGGTTGTTGATTGGCCGCTATTTTGAGCGCTGAACAAGTATTAATATTACATTACATAGACGTATAAGAACAATATATTGTCCCTATACATTTATGTAATGTTATATTGTCTCTATACTTATACGTAATGTATGCGTATATTTTTATGTATAACCTTTTTTATTATATAATTATTCTTATTTGTTCATTAGTATGGGCAGGTTTAGCTTATACCGATAAGGCATATATGATATGAAAATAATATAAAAAAGCTTGCAAATGGCCATGACCAAGTTGTGTAATAAAACACTCATGTGTCGACATGCAAGACAAAAAATCTCACATATGTCCTGGCTTGTTTCATAAAAACTGCGCATTGTTTAGTTGGCTTCTTATAAAAGTTCATTTAAACTAGCAAAAAAAATTTAAAATTCATTTGTTGATTTTGCTTTTCTTAGATGATTTATTTTTCAGTTTTATTTGCTAGGTTTTATTAGTTAATTAGATTTTAGATTAGTTAATATTTTACTAACCAATTGAAGTAATTTTTTACTATTAAACAAATTTGCTTCATAAGCAAGAGGTTCTGTGTTCGATTCCCACCACGTCCCTGGTAGTACCGCACTCAACTTGTTTCTCCGCTCAGCGGCCTTGTTCGTCAAGGTTTGTGTTTCGGAGTTATAGAGTTGAGAATGGGTTATAATCACAATTAAGTAGCCTTCTCATCTGTAGTGGCCTTCTTGGCCTTGGGGAGGTGAATTGCAAAAAAAAAAAAAAAAAAAAAATCAGTAAAAATTTTTTTTTTTTTTTTTTACTTTTTACTGATTCATTAAAGTATTTTATTTGTAACTGCAACATATTTTTGCTGTCTGAGGGTTTCATTTATTCATTCAACTTTACAACGACAATACATTTCTTTTAATGAAAAATATATCAAGTTTAGTTACTATGTTTAATTTTATTTATAGGTCTGTTGTGCACAATATGAAGATGGAGAATGGTACAGAGCAATTATTAAAAATGTTTTATCTCCAAGCGAAGTTGAGGTGAATTTCTCTTATTCTGTAATAGTAAACCTTCTGTTTTGTTTTATTTTTACTGATTTTTTTATTTATTTTATGTAATAATATATATCATTGTATCATGTTTCTTTAAAAAATATTAGTAATAATAACAAAAAGTTAATAAAGTTTAAAATATTTTCAAATATCACAGTAAAATAATAATTGTAAATTTAGTTCATTTTATTAAAAAGTTATATTTTAGCATTTACTTTTAAGTTAAAAATTGTTGATCCTTTTTTTGTTTTTTAGGTTTTTTATGTTGACTATGGGAATGAAATGGTTCTTGATATATTATATTTGCGTTTAATGAAAAAAGATTTTATGACTCTTCCAGTTGTTGCAAATTTAGGTTTTCTAGATGGAGTGTTACCTTATGATTTAAAAGTTTGTATATTTTTAACTTATTTTTTAATATTAAGGTTTTACTTATATTAATCTCAGTTGTAGTTAATAAAAATAAATTGGTTGTTACATTTAAAGAAATGGTCAAAAGAAGCAATAAAGAGATTTTTTGAATTAACATCAGATAAATATTTGTATGGAAAAATAATGTCAAAAGTAAGTTTTACCTTCAATTTTTTTTTTTTAAATAAATTTTTTAAAATAGTGTTGCCAATTTCATGCTTAATCTGTTTGTAGTGATTTGACTTTCTCAAGAAAGCATAAACATGTTGGAAACAACTGGTTTATGATATTTAAACAACTTGCTATGGCGGTCTTACATAAAAATATTTTTTGTTGTGATAGATTTTTATCATGCTTACATATTAACAATGGGAAGTGAAGCCATTTGTAATATTTGACATTTTTATAGCTTTTTTTTAAGTCACAGACACTATGAAATATTTTTTTGCTTTAAACTATATGAACTATTTTGCAAATAGAATAGAGATAGGTTTAAGTTATTTATTTATAAAAAGCAACCATTGCAAGGTTTTTTTTTACATTTTCTACTTGAAGTTACTGACTGATGAAAAAAATTTATGTAAAACATGTTGAACTTTTAAAAATATATAAATTGTAAATATGATCCTTTTTTTAATGCTGTTAGTTAAAAATTAAGTTTATTTTTAACCTTTAATTGTTAGTTAAAAACTTTATTTAAACTTTATTTTAAGAAACGATTTATTTTAGGTACAGTTAAATATATCCATTTTTAAATGCATAACCGAGTTAGCTATTATTAAATGATCACAGAAGGAAATTGAACAACCTATGGTCAAAAGTTTTTTTTAAAAAAAAACTTTTGACCATAGGTTTCTACAAAAAGACTTTTAAATAATTATAAAATTGTTGTAAGATAGTTAATAAGGTTTTCATTTGGTGGAATTTCTTATAGTTTAGTTTAGTTAATTCAGTAATCAAATTTTACAAAAATGTTATAAAGTTTGACGGAGCTTGGTGCCAGACCTTGCTATGCTGACGAGTTTAATACATATAGTTCTATTATTTGCAAGTCTTCTGATGCTTGAACTGTGACTTGGAAATTATGACAGATTTTGATATATGTAAAGAATAATTGTACACACAAATGATAAATAAATGTGTGCATATATAGTTATGCAGGTCGTAGGAAAAAATCCACCAAAAATAATCTCCTGAGAAAAAATCCCCCCGAGAAAAAAATCCTCCTAGAAAAAAGGAGTTTTAGTTTAGGCTGGCAATCTATCAATTTAAAAAAATATTTAAATTAAAAAAATTTTTTTTTGAGGTAATTTTTTTCTAGGGGACTTCTTCCAGAGAGATTTTATGTTGGGAGAATTTTTTCTATGGGATTTTTTTTCAAGGGGATTATTTCCACTGGAATTTATCCTGGGGATTATTTCTTAGAACTATTTATACATATATAATTTTTTTAATAGGAAAAATCTATATCTCTTGAACTAGTTGACACAAATAATACAGATGATGTTTATATAGCTGAAGTTTTATTGGAAAATAATTTAGCTACAGATAATGAAATTCCAAAAGGTATTGTAATGTTATGTTAATTTGAAAAAATTATATTTAATGTTTATTCTTTTATATTTTTACTTTACCTTTTTTATTGTTTCTATTACAATATTGTGTTTATTGTTTGTTTTTTTTTCTATTTAAATTATTGTGCTGTATTTAATATTTATTATTATTGTTATTATTATTATTTTTAATAATATTGTTACATATTTTTTTTATTTTATTTTATTTTTTTGTGTTGTTTCGATTAAATTTTTTAAATAGAATTTCTAAACATTTATATAGTTTCAGAAAGTATAAAAAGTTACACAAATGATTGTTCAAGGTAACTCGTGTCTTGTTATATATAATTCTTCGTGTTCTTTCTTTTTTTTTTTTAATAATAAATATTTCTCATAATTACTTTTTATCAGCAATACTATGTACCATGAACAATACTATGCACCATGAACAACAATATGTACCATGAACAATATTATATATCATAAACAATACTACGTACCATGATTACTTTTTGTTTTTTTAATTAAAAAAATGTACCATAACACAAAAAATATACCATTAAATATAACACGCAAAAAAATATTTGTCTGTATATATTAATAAATTTAGAATGTTTTTTCAACAAATATCTGTTCATAAATTTAATTTTTTTTTTTTAATCAAAAAACAAATATCTTATTGTTACTTATAGGCACTGCTCTCTATTGTTTAAGTTTATGATAAATTATAAAAAAGGAATTTTTGTTTTTAGAAATAACCATTTGGAACCTAAAGTTGCTGAAAAAACAACAACAGTGGTTAATGATTTTGTCAAAAAGTAATTTTTTTTACTGTTACTTATGCAAAAAAAAAAAAAAAAAAAAAAAAAAAAAAATAAATAAATTAACAATAGATGGATATTATCCTTAAAAAAAAAGATTAACAATAAATATTATGCTAAAGTAATTTTATTTTATGCTAAAATAATTTTACTAACAAAGCTCAAGGATTATCTTTATTTTAAGTTTTTTATTAATAATTTTTTGAAAAATCTTCTTAATAAATTTTTTTTTGTAAATATTTTTAAGATGTTCATGTTGAACTTCTTTTAAAAATATATTCAATTTTAAAATTGATAAGTTTTTATTTATTTTAAATATTTCTGCATATTTTATGTATATATTTTTAATTTATTTTATTTGATAAGTTGTTGATAAGTTGATATGTTGCTCTACTTTTAAAAATATATTTGATTTTAAAATTGCTAAGTTTTTATTTTAAATATTTCTACATATTTTATGTATATATTTTTAATTTTTCAATCTTTTTTTTCTATTTAACCAGTTTTCAGATTGATGAGGATATGTTGTTTACTGTAATTCATTATAAAGATCAAGCTTGGCTTACAAGTCTTGATATATCTAAATTATTTTGGGATGGTGGAGATATACTGAGACAAATGGTATGTTTGAAAAACGTTTACCCACATTTTATTTTTTTTGAAGGATCTTAAACAATTTTGAAACATTTGTATTTCTATCGTTTATATTTTTACCTTCTTATTTTTATTTTTTTTGACTTTTTTTATCCAATATATTGCAAATAAAATGTGTAACAAAAAATTAGAAATAGTATTTAAAAAATAATGTTTATGATTTGTTAATTATTTTTTGTTCTTTTGCTGTAAAACATATTATTGAAAAGTAGTTTGAAACTACTGAATAAAAATTTTAATTTTTCTCATTTTCTTGAAATCACTATTCTGACATTATTGTCTCGCTTATACTGATATTCTTGCCTTTTCCTTTTCATATGTATACTTGAATTCTATTATTCTTTTTTTGTATGTATACTTATACTTGAATGATTGAGTGATGATTTAAATGATTAAATGATGAATTGAATGATTGAATGATAATTGAATGATAGTTGAATGATTGAATGATGAATTGAATGATTGAATGATGATTTAAACGATTAAATGATGAATCGAATGATTGAATGATGAATTGAATGATTGAATGATGAATTGAATGATTGAATGATAAATTGAATGATTAATTGAATGATTGAATGATGAATTGAATGATTGAATGATGAATTGAATGATGAATTGAATGATTGAATGATAACCTGAATGATTGAATGATGACTTGAATGAATACCTGTTAGCATATTTTCTTATTTATGATCGGAGTTAGATTGATAAATTTAAAATTAGGAATTTTTTAAGTAATAAGCATGTTGAAAATTTTGTATTAAATTTGATCATTATGGTGATGGTTTTCAGGAGAGATTTGTAGTAAGTGATAATTTAAAAAAATTAAAAAGTGTGAAATTTTTTCAGAATGTTGCCTATTGTAGATGTAAGAATAATTATAATTAAATATAAAATACAGCCCTCAGAATTAGGGTTCAGCAATATCAACCTAACTGCCGATTTGTATTTGACTTGATGTCTGAGATCAGCAATTTTATATAAATTAAAAACAGTAAAATGAACCCTTTATTTAAATTCTAAATAAAATAATTAGAATAAAATAAAAATAAATGTTTTATTTTATGAGTAAAATATTGAATATAAAATCAGCAAAGCAATCGTTTTATTTGAATTCTGAACAAAGTCATTTAAAAACACAACAGCTAACAGATGTTTTATTTAAATTCTAAATTTTTACAAAAAAAAAAAAAAAAATTTATAGCAACAAAAATAACAAAGTTTTTTCATTAGACTCTCTAGACAACTGCTATGTTTTAAATATTATTTGTATAAAACAGATGTTAATCCAGGTAATACAAATACAGGGTAAAAATGGTTATTGTTTACAATGCTTATTTATTAAAATATTTTATTATTTATATGCCAAAATTAAAAATAAATAGAAATGAAATAAAAGCTCGTTATTACTCTATTCAACTTCAAATTTTTAAAATATTATACAAAGATATACAATTTCTTTTCTTATTAGTTTCTTAGTTTATTAGTTTTCTAATTAGTTTCTTTGTATACAATAAGTATACAAAGAAACTAATTTAAAAGATAAGTATTTCTTGGTATTTCTTGTGGTACAAAGAGTACACAGGTTAATTTTCAAATTAGCTTCACCTATCCTGGCAGACAAATAACCAACAGTAATATATGTCTGACCAGGTTAATTTGTATCAATATCATTTTAAAACATGATAAAACCTTTTTTAAGCACATAAACATTGTGAAATATAACATATTGTGTCATAAGACTTGATTAACTGGTAACTTCAAAGTTTCATAAACACCTTTAATTTTTGCTTTATCTTTTCTTTATAGTTGCGCTGAATGAATTTTCTACTTGTTCACTTACAAACATTAATAGAACAGTTCTATAAATAAGTGCAAATAGTTATTACCTGATAACTAATCAATCTCTTTCCATCTCAGCATCTATATTTGTGTTTAAACAGTTTTAAAAAGCATATATCCTAAGACTAACTGATTGTGTTAACTTTTTTTTTTATGTTTAATGTCACTGGATGCTTCTTTTAAAGCAATTTCTGTTTTATTGTGTATGATTCCCTGGCTCTTGTTTAAAAAATAAATCAAGTTGTGGGACACCTTTTTGACAAGTTTTTATCATTTATTTTATCAATTCTTTTCATCATTTGTCTTTAAAAAAGTACTGTTGCATGAAATACTGTAGTATGTAAGTTTTGAGTTCAAAGTTTTTATCACTTAAATACCAGTATCGTGACTTTTCATAGTTGCAAATGATTGCTTTTTTTAGTTTTGTTTAGCTGCTGCAGATGGACTACAATACTTTCCTTGATAGATACATTTAAATGGTTGACTCTGTCAATGTTTTTTCACTCTCAATTAATTACATACTTGGCTATTGGTTCGCATGTTCTTTTAACAAGTTACTAGTTCACTCATATCAATGGCTTTCAATCAAAACTTATTAAAATCTAATGAGACTTTTTAAGTGCTTCATTTGTGGAAGAAATACACTAGTCTTTACACTAGTTTTTTTTTTTATTGTCGGGTCAGGTTCAGGATTATTGTGATAACCCTGCTGCTGAGCTCATTGCTCATGTGCCTTGCATTATTTATGATTGAGTCAAGTTCTCTAATAACCTAAAATATGAAAAAAGTACCTATAAATTTAGATTAAAACCATCAACACCAGCTAATTGTTTTAATCTATTTTTTATGAATTTATTTGTGATCTTTGAAGTAACTTCAAAGTCAGCTGTTTCATCTTTGGATATCAGTGTTGACTTCTATTATCTTTTGATTCGCAAAGATTCCAATAGTTGCATGCTTAACTTAGATTCCAATAGTTACATGCTTTGCATAGATTGCAAAAGTTACATGCGTGGCCTTAGCATATAATTATGTCTAATATAATATTTCTATTACCATGAAGCTTACTGCGATTTCTTTTGTGATTTTTTTTATGACAGTTTATGTGCTGATGTCTTTTGTCTTTCAGCTGACAATTGCATATTTTGAAGAATTTCTGTATTTATTTTTTTTTCAGATTTTTTGTGAGATTAACAAAGTAAAGTGATTAACAAAGGTAAAAAAAAAAAAAACATTGTCATTAACAATTCCAAAGAAAAATTGCTAGACATCCAAATCACTCCAGTTTTTGTTGCTAAATTATTTCTCTTATCAACTAATCTTCTTCTCCTGCTCTAGATAACATTTCTGTCATAGCCTTTCAAAAGTGTTCCCAAATCTTGACATTAAAATAATAGGGTTCTCTCTCCCTTTTGTATTATTGAAAGAATTCAACTTATGTTTTCAATTATTTATGTTTTACATACATATTATATTGATAAAATATACGTTTTTTATGATATTTATGTTTTATAATTAATCTTTTATTATTATTTATATAATTTTAAAAATATTCTGTTTATTAATTAATTCCTAATCCAACTTAAATAAAGTTGAATTAACAAAAAAAAAAATTTTAAAAGTTATATAAAAAATAATAAGATTAGTATATTAAAATTATATAATTATGAACATAGGAATATAAAAGTAAATAAAAACCTAAAGTTAAATTTTCTCAACATTACAAAATGGAAGCTAGAACCCTATTATTCTAAAATTGAAATTCTAAATGTGAAATTTTATATGTTACTATGTAAACTGTTTATTTTATATGTTACTATGTAAACTGTTTGATAAGTATTTAACTAAATCTTATTTTCTTTCTGGAAAATTAACTGTTTAATATAATTGGATGTAATAAACTATATAATCTATAATCCATATTGGACTTATAGAAATCGTCATTTAGACAACATTTGCTTGTTTTATTTAATAAAATATTTAATATTAAGTTCCATTAAAAAATAGAATATAAATTTATCCATTTTACCAGGTTTAGCAGACATGCTTTGTATGACATACCTAATAGCAGTAGCAGCTACCACATGATGCCATTGAACATTGTTGAATTTTCCACAATAAAGCTAAACTACTCCTTGACCTTTAAGGGTTATTTAAAGCAATCAAGATGATTTAGGTGCTGGTCACTTGTGCTTGCAAGTTTTATTAGGTGCTGGTCACTTGTACTTGCAAGTTTTATTAGGTGCTGGTCACTTGTACTTGTTTATAGAAGTATAAAATGTTTTAGAGGTTTAATAATTACAATGCTTATTTTAAGTATAATTACATTCATCTTAATTTTATTTATATTTCATTTCCTTTCATTTTGTTTATAATTTATTAGTTTTCTCAGGAGTTTTTATAAGTTTATTTTTTTCTTTATGAATTTATAATAGAATGGTTTTGGGTTCTAATTCACCTCATTTAAAATTTTCAAGAGACATAATAAATTTTGAATTTCAAAGTTTATTACCATTAATATTATTTATTATTATTCTAGGAGTTAATCCTAATACAATAATAGATTCAATAACATTTAGTTCTTATATTAATATTTCTATATAATGAGAATCAGAAAAAATAATCATCTTAAAAAACATTGTTTAGTATTGTTTTCATGTGTTGTGTGTTATGGTAAGTTGAATGCAATGCAGCAACCTTGTTGTTATGATAAGTTGAGTGCAATGCAGCAACCTTGTTGTTATGGTAAGTTGAGTGCGATGCAGTAACCTTGTTTTTCAGAGGTTTGTGTGTCAAAGGTATAGGCTTAGAAATGGGTTGTAACAACAAAAAAAAAAGCTTAAAATTTTTTTTGGGTTTTATTAAAAATTGGGTTTTATTAAAAATTGGGTTTTATTAAAAATGGTCACTTTATACTTATTATTTATAAAGTATCTTTTTAGTTCATTGATGTTAGTTTTGATTAAAAACACATTTTATTGGAACCTGGTTTAGCAATCACATTTTCATGTGTTTTGTGCAAAAAAGATCTAACTACTTTTTACTTTTTTCAATTTCATTTCTTTTAGTTTATGTTTGAATATCAAGTATTCTTTTTAATTCAAAATTTTCAAGCCATTTGAGAAATCTTGGAAATTTAAAAATGGTATGAACCGCTCAACATATTGATAAGCCAGAAATTATAATTGTTTAGCAATAAATTTGTACATTCACTAATTAACACAAGATGTATTTAAAGTCATTAAATAAATACCAAGTGTTTGATAAGTAACTACAGATTAAACAATAATACAGTAATAAATTAATTAAATTTGTTTTTATAAAATTCTTGAATTTTTTTATTTTATCTTAGCTCAGTCAAAAGAAGTTATCATTTGAAAATGATATAATTAGCGAATCTGAAAATGAAAATTTATTCTCAGTGCTGAAGAAGTAAGGTTTTTTTAAATAACTTTTTTTTATTATATAATTTTTTTTTATGTTTTTAGAAGTATTTTGTTTTATATTTATTATATTATTAAATGCATTCTAAAATTTTTATTATTTGCTTTTTTTTTCAAGATAAAATATGTGTTTAAGAAATACTTTAAGAGTATTTTATTTTACCTGTTTTTAAACCATATTGACTCAAAAAAACATGACGAAAAGCTATAAATAAATACTTATAAAGTAATAGGACAATATTAATAAAAATAAACAATCTATTGTGTAGATCAATAGAAAAAATAATCTCAAAAATCTGAAATTTATTTTTAATGTATGTATGTTAATTAGGTCTGTACAAGCAGCCCATGCATTGAGTTGAATTGCTCTGCAAGTACTTCGCAAAACAAATCTTTAGACAACCTAGATCTGTTTTAGTAGAAAAACTACAATAATACTGATCAGTTAAAAAAAAATTTGAAATGTATTTTCCATTGTTTTTAGAATGAATAATTCTGGTGTTGGGTTTTTGTTTCGATCTCATTTTACTGTGTATAAAGTATCAAGGTATTTATCTAAGTATTTAAAAAATGTTTTTAAAAGTTTTAAAATCTTAAAAAGTTTATAAACAGTTTTCTATTGTGCATCATGTCAAAAAGAAGTTTTTTAAGAATAATTTTTTGAAAATTTCTTAAATTTAATTTATGGACTTGGCACCCTCATCTCAATTAAAAAATCATTTGGATGATAATGGTAATTTATTTATATTTTCTCAGCTTACTACAAATATGCAGTATATTTAAATGCAGAAAGGCTCATTACTTGGTTGCCATTAATTCATTGGTCAAAGATGTAGAGAAAGAGGAATTTTGGCAACGAAAGGTATAAAAATATTTATAAAAATAATAGTTTTTTAAAATCCAACTTTAAAATCCAACTATCAAAAAATTTAATATAACTAATTTAACTAATTTAAAATAATCAAAATATTTAAAAAACTTTTTTTAGTTAAATGAAAATGAATTAAAAGAAGAGGAGGCAAAGTTAAAACTCATGGAACTCAAGTTCAAAAGGTACTGAAAAATTCTATGTTTTTAAAACCTTTTTTTTAGTTTTCATTAATTTTAATTGTATTGAATGAATTTTTTTAAGAAAACGACTTCACTATGGAATGATGACCAATACAGCATCTGAGAAAACATTAGATGACTTAAGATTATTAGAGAATAATATCAAAGAATTAGAATTAAATTTAAAGAAAACATAATTCTTGTCTTAGTTCAATTGTGTTTTTATTAAATTTTTCTCTATATATTTTTTAAACTTTATATGCATCATAAACATCTTTTTCATTTTATTTTACAGTCTTATATTAAATGACTTTTATGTATATAGCTTTGTTATTTAAATATTATGTAACCATTTATATAAGTAATTTTTTATTATTTTGAATAAAAAAAAGAAAAAAGTTGTTTTTGGTTTTAATTTTTTAATTTTTTTTGAGATATTTGCAGTTTTTTTTTTTTTTTTACTACTTAGTATGGCATTTTTACCCTTGAATTTTTTAAATTTTTCAATGCGAATGGTTTTTTACAACGTAAACCATATTAATTGGTATTTTTGTAACAAATAAATGAGCTCATGTATTGACTGAATTGAATCAAAAAGAACATGCAGGGGGTGTACATATGTTGACTTACTTAAATAGGTAGAAATGCAGAGAGTTTATATACAAAAAAAAAGGTTAATATTAACATTGCCCGTCCTAATCCAAACCCTGAGTTAATGTATGTACACTACTGCATGTTTTCCCTATTTAAATTGCTGTATGTTTGTACACTCCCTGCATGTCTTCTTTATTTAAGTCAGTTGATTGATGTACAGTCCTCTCATGCTCTCCCTATTTAAAACAATCAATGGATGGAAAATAAAAAAACAACAAAAAAGTGAAAAAAACAACAACAAAAAAACAAAGAAAAAAACTAAAAATAAGTAACCTAACAAAACATTAGTAATAAGCAACAAAAAATGTAAACAAATATTTTTTGCTTTGTATTAGGGATGTCCCAAAATTCCGTTCTGGCCAAACATCTGGCCAGAGTTTGTGGCTTTTAGATCGTTCTGGTTCCGGCCAGAATTACAGTATTTCAAACCGGAATGTCGGAATTTATTTTTTACCTTTTTTTAAAGAAAAGGTAATGATTTTAATTTACATAGTCTGTATCACAGACTATGTAAATTAAAATCAAAAAATTTATTTTTTAATTTTAATTTAATATAAATAAAAAACCTAATATAATATAAATAATTTAATTTAATATAAATAAAAAATCTAATATGGTAAATATTTCAATTTTAACCTAAATAGAAAAAAAGAAAACAAAGAAATAATTTTAAGTATAAATATTATGCAGATTAAAACTTTCAATAAATAAAATTATAAGAAACAAATAAAAACAAAATATTAGATTTAAATAAAACAAGAATCAAATTAATGAAATAGGTTATATAAATTATATGTTATAAATATATATTAAGTATATAATATATATTATAAATATATATTAAAATGCTAAGGTGCAGGCTTTCAATCTTGATGGTAAAATATTACATATGTATAATTTTCGTTTAGCCAGAATTCCGGCTGGAATTTTATTAACAATTCTGGCAAATCTGATTCTGACCAGAGTTCAAAATTTCCAATCTGGTACTCCTCTATTTTGTATATAGAATTGCGGTTTTTAAAATTATTTAATTGTTAAAATAAAATTAATTAAACTATTAAACTTAATTACTTTATTTGCTTTAGCGTTATTTTTGTCTTCATGTAACTGTAAGAAATACTAGAATTAATACCACAGTAATAATAATAATAAAAGTTAGTAAAGTAAACATTTTTTTAAATTTTTTTATTGTGTGCATTATTACCTCCCCAAGACCTAGGGGCTACTTCAGTTGACGAGAAATTAAAACTAGATGAATAAAGGTTTTTTATTCACCTAGTTTTGCTCAACAAATATAATAAAAAAATGCAGCCTTGCTGCATGAAGAGTCACACAAAATTGACTTTAGGTTAATAAAACAATTGATGAAAACTTAAACAGCAGCTATGGCAGTATTTGTAGAAAAGAGACATTATTTGAAAAACAATGGAAAAGTAAGGAATAAAGAATACTGTTGGAGTATTCCTTATTCCTTATTGAATTTATGGAGGTAAAGAATAGAATCAATATAAACACAATTAAAGAGGCAACCCATGTTGAGGCTTACTTTGCAATGGATTGGGTATATGGTTTCCATATAAGGTCAGTAGTGTTAGATAATCCAAGAAGTTGTAGAGTAGCAGACAAAATATTTCCATTCATAAATATGGAAATATCAACAATATTGTAATATTGCAATATTGCACTCCATACTTTTTACTTACAATATTGCACTCCTTACTTTTTACTTACAAAGCAAGCGCTCTACCTCCGTTTGTTTAGCAATAACATATACTTGCAAGTAACTTTAAAAGGAGGACTTTGCAAGTAATTTGCAAGATGATAAAAGTGAGTTTTTGACAAGTTAATTTTAATTGGGTTATATTATCGGCACATGATATTTTTGTAACATGAAGTTTTTATAATTATAACAAAGATTTTGTTATAGAAAATGCAATTTTTTTTTTATATTATGTACATGTTTTATTTCAGTTTTCAACTTTGAACTTCTCCTGTTTAGTAGCCTATTTTTAACAGTCTGTTTTTTTTATATTTTGTGTTATGGTAAGTTGAGTGCGATACAGCAACCTTGTTGTAATGGTAAGTTGAGTGCGATACAACAACCTTGTTTGTCAGAGGTTTGTGTGTCAAAGGTATAGACTTAGAAGTTGTAACAACAGATTTTTTTAAAAAAAAAAAGCTTAAGAAATCTTTTTCAGTTAATTGTTTTAAACACCAATCCATTTGATTTCTATTGTTTGATTGGTATGTAAATGACTTTGATTGCTAGTTAAATTGCTTATCAATTTTTATAAAATAGGAATATTATGATACTTTAATTAAAGTTATTGAATGAAATCAAGTATTGGTCTAACTCACCTACTCATTTATCCTAATAAAGTATGGAAGCGTGAGTCATACTTTTATTTTTTTTTAATTTTACTGTGATATATACTAATGATTACATGATTAACAAAGAGTTATTAACTATATTTTTATATTTATAATAATGCTATATAATGAAGTTATGTATTTTAAAATATTGTAAATATTTATATGCAGCAATTAGCATACATTAGGAGGTTGTAGTAAATAGTTTTGCAAGCAAAAAAAGAGTACAGTTTAAAAAAGTGAACCGTTTTTTTTATTTAATGCATAGGAAATGGCATATTCTTATATATTTGTTAAACTTGTGATTTATTTTATGAGCTCTTGTAGTATATATCTATAAATATTATTTAAGACTGTTATATAATTGTTATATTATTTAAGACTGTCATATGAATGTTTTATTATTTAAGAATGTCATATGAATGTTATATTGTTTAAAACTGTCATATGTATGTTATTTTGTTTAAGACTTTTATTGAATGTTATATTGTTTAAGACTTTCATATGAATATTATATTTTTTAAGACTGTCATATTTCTATATTTTGAATTTAGATTATGTTTCTGTTGGGTAAGATGTGTTCAAGGTTTTGTAATATTTTTATAAGAAAAGAAAAAAATTAATGGAACTTATTTTCCATGTTAATGGCTTTTATTTTCATATAATAAATCAGTCGGCCAATTTTTTTTTTTTGTTACTTTTGTCATTTTAATTAACTAATCAGGTACTCTACTGGTAACAAATACAATTTAATAATATTTTTCAAAATCCACAAATGTAAAAAAAAAATCAATATAAAATAAATAAATCAACTAAGTCTATGGTCAAATAAATCTTTTTTTTCCTGCACTTGTCTACAAATATTTATACAAAGGTCTAATGAGTAATTTCATTCTAATTGTCTACACAAAACAGTAAATCTAGGAATTATGATATATTGTTGTTTTTCTGCTAAAGATGTAGAAAGATTGCATATGGTCAGCAAATAAAAGTTTGCATAAATTGACATTAATTCTATTAAAAATTTGTGGAATTATGTTCATGAGGAGGTCCATAAAAGAAAATTTTCAAATTTGAAAAATTCATGGATAGCTATCCAAAAATCTTTTTGGTTTGATTTGCCTTGAATATTAAAAATAATCCCCGCTACTTTTTTTTTTAAATATAAAACATACTAAATATAAATTTTGTATACATTTATTTGTTCAAAAATTAAGTATATATTTTTCAAAGTTTATATGAGATTTTATAAATAAAGTTTTCCTTTATTAATATTAAATATATTAGTTTTTTTAAGAAATTTGTTGCTGTTTACTTTTTTTTGCTTGATATATGAATTTTTTTTTGCTTTACATTAGGAGGTTGGTGGCAGATAGCTTACATTAGGATATTAGTGGAAAGCATAGTTAAAAGAGAATTTATAATTTGGAGAATATGTAACAAATAACTACTTTTATAAATGATTAAAAAATGATTTTATATAATAAATCTGCTTGAGTAACACGAGGTTGAGTAACATGAGGTTGAGTAACAGGAGGTTGAGTAACAGGAGGTTGAGTAACACAAGGTTGAGTAACACGAGGTTGAGTAACATGAGGTTGAGTAACACGAGGTTGAGTAACATGAGGTTGAGTAACATGAGGTTGAGTAACATGAGGTTGAGTAACATGATGTTTTTTGTTGCATATCATCAATTCAATGTCAAATAGTATGTTAGCAAAAATCAAGTTTATGTTTTGATGTTAAAAATGTTGTTTAACTATAGTCTTTATGAAGTTTTGATTGTTGTACTTATCAAGATAGTTTGAACTGTAGTTTTTTTCACTTATAACAAAATGTTTACTATAATCCCTAATTTAAAAATGCATATAAAATTTTATCATTATACTAGTTTGCACTTTTTTTTTCAGTTTGCACTTTTTTTTCCCTTTTTTAAATAAAAAATCAGAGCTTCTGATAAAAATAAAATGTTTTCAAAGTGTGTTTTTTTTTATCTAAAATAAAATGTGTTGTTATGTTATTATTAAAGATAAATAAATTATTATATTAAATGTTTTGTTACCTAAAATGCTTTATTTTACTCTCTTAGTACTGGCAATCAAGAAAATGTGTTTCAGACATCTCGTGTTATTTGTGATTGTGTAAATAACTTGCTTACAGATCTCAATTCAGGTAAAGTTGACAGTTTTGCTGTTCTTTTGACTTACAAGCCTTCTTACTGCCTTACAAAACAAACCCTATGTTGATATTGGTGTTATTTATGAACATATAAATATATATTAAATTAAAATATATAAATATATATTAAATGTTTTTACATTTAAAATTTTGAATAAAGATTTTAATGAAGCATTTATGAATTTGTGTAAAGTTGAAACTTAGCATATTAACCAAAAGGTTTTTAAGCTTTTTTCAAAATGTTTTTAATGTGTGTTTTAAATATGTTGTTATTATTTATCACATATTTATTATCACAAAGAAGAATTTAAAATTTGCTCGTACTCTTTAAGAAAAACTGTTTTTTATTCTGTTTTTTATTTATTATTAACTTTCTTAAGTTTTCATGAAAAATCTCTGAGTAAGACAGTGACTGATTATTTGTGTAAAATGCATGAATGAAATTTCATATTTAATTCTTTGTTTCATAACTTAAAAAATAAGATCATCAACTACTGTTATTGTTTCAACAAATGACTTCTAATGATTGTTAATAAACATATTTTTAAATATAAAATAAATATTTATATTTTAAGATGGTTTATATAGTTGATACTAATAAGACTACAGACTGTTTAAATAATGGTTATCATATATTAAATGACATTTTTTAAAAAGAAATAAAAACTGTTTTTCTAGGCTTCCAGAGTTGCATATCTAAATAAGATCTAGCCTTCTGAATTGACCTTGTATGCCATAAATAAGAGAAACACACGGCATTTAATACAAAAGCATGCGAACAACTTCCATTTTATTATTAACGTTTAATATTTATTAATAACTTGATTTGATAATTTCTATTACAAGTAACAAAGTCAGTAATGATGTAATGGTAAAGCGATCCAAAATCTTAGTCTGTGTTATATCAATCCCTACCTTAACCTGTGTAGTAACTATCCCTAACTTCTTTAGTTTAGTATTACACTCAGCCTGTATTTATGTGTTTCATTAATTTCATTATTAATTCATTATGCTAATACGTAATGCCACACATAATGAACTAATAATTTTTTTCAACTTCCACAAGGAATAAATTCATTTACTGTAAGTTGTCATCTCAACAATATTTTTTGTTGCAGAGATATGAGCTAGTTTTGAAAATAATCCTCCATAATAAACACATGGTAAGTAATGCAAAAATGTATGGTATCAATATAACCCATTTATTTTCCTTAGTCTTTCACCTAATGAATTTCTCATAAAATTTTTTATTTATTTTATTTATTAAGAATTGAATTATCAATATCTGGTAAAAATATTCAGTACGATTCACAATACTGTTCTGCATCAATATGCCTGTGACATTGAAACATTTGTTTACTTGGGTTTTTTTGCATAACATGAGTTAAATGGCATTTTTGATGTATATATTATTGGCCTTGGTTAAGTATTTTGTCAGAAATAAATCATTTATCAACGCAAGTATATGTTACAACAATCATGATTTTTCCTAACACCAGTTGACCATTCTGTAAAGTAAATGAAAGTTTCAATGTGAAAAAAGATGTGTCAATGAAAGATGTGAGATTAAAGGTCAGATAATTCAATGGGGGTTTTAAAAAGTGTTGAGATTGCTATAATGGCCGGTAATGGAAGATTAAACATATGCTGCCCTCAAGAAACTTCCTGAAAATGCTAAAAAAAACAATACATATCTACCAAAAAAAAAAAAAAAAGGCAAAGCTAAGATATTGTTGTTACAAAGTCTTCCAGGTTGGGTGCCAAAAAAATGTCAGAAAAATGGATAAATAACATAGTTGAGATAAAATAATAATGGTGTTGGAGATAAAATAATAATGGTGTTAGTAAAATTTGCTGTTGCTAAATGTAGTTTCAATATGCTGCTAAATTTCAATATTTAGACCTTGAACATGTAGGTCGAGAGAAGAAAAAGAAGAATTCGAAATTGTTTTGAGCAAATGAAAGACTGATTGTATGTTGAGACTATGAGGTAGGTATTCTGGTAGTATTGAGCGAGTACATTGTAGAAAGGGTTTTGGTCTTTAAAGAAATAAAGAAGAAATATTGAAAATTTCAAATGTTCTATAATTGATAGACTGTGATTGACAGTCTGTAGGTAAACTTTTTTAAAAAAAAAGAAAATTTTATAAAATGTGAGTTATTATTATGCCAAATTTTTTGTTGTGCAAAAAAGTGTGCAAAGTATTTAAGAACATTATTTAAAGTGTTTTATGCAAAGTATTTTAGGACATTTTTTTTCTGGTTATCAATAAATTTCCTTATAAAGTGTTTTTATAAATCTAAAATTTAAAATACAAGGTCACAATAGGAATATTTATTTTCGAGACAAGACTGCTTGCCCTAACTTTTTAATCAAGATGCTTGAAATATAATATTTTTACTTGTAGTTAGCAGTCAACTAAATGCTGCAGCAGGTGGCATTCCACAATCAGAAACAGTTCTTCAATTTTTACATCATTGTACTGATGCATTTACAGATTGCTATGTAATCAAACTTGACCTTGATGCTTCTGGAAGAAACACAGTTGAAACTAAAAGACACAAGTTAGCTAAAGGTTTTAGTTTTATTAATAGGTTTTTATCTCATTTATTTTTAGTATTTTTAAAATTGCGTAATGATTTAATTTATAATTTTCATTATATTTGTTTTTCAAAAATTTAACTTATCAGGCTATTCTAGTTTCGACAACGTTTTAATATAAACTTCTTAATTATATATATTGATAAATATTGGAATACAAATGTTTAATTCCATTGCTTCGTCATTTTGAAATCCAGAAATTATTTTATTATATTCCAAGTTGAAAAAGCACGTAAAACTTCTTAGAAAGTATTGACGAAAATGGCAGTTGGTTGCCCAAACTAAACCATAAGAAATCACAAAAAAAGGCGGCACTTGTTTGATGTGTAAATGTCTTGAAAAAAATAGAAAATATTTTTTTCAAGACATTTACACATCAAAAAATAGAAAATATAAGTCAAAAGCTAATATAGCAAATATTGGCAAAAAATCAGCAAAAAAGTTGATGTCAAGTTGGCAAAAAATGAAGTGCATTGTTTGACAATGTTTGATCATAAGTTAGTAAAAGCACTAATCTAATTTTTGTCTTCATCATTGTTTCACCATTAGTAAGTTCACCACTTCCTAATTATAAGTGTTTTTACTAATTTATCTCTCTCTCTCTCTCTCTCTCTCTCTCTCTCTCTATATATATATATATATACATATATATATATATATATATATATATATATATATATATATATATATATATATATATATATATATATATATATATATATATATATATATATATATATATATATATATATATATTTCTAAATGATATTTTAATAGTCTATAAACATTTTTTTTAGTAAATAACAGATGTACACAACTTTTATTTCGACTTAACTCTCTCCAATATGACCACCTTTAGCGCAGATGTTAGTCTTACAGAGACTTAGCATTCGAAAAAGTAACTTTTCAAACGTTTCACAACTTAAATTATTTCAGGCACCTTTAAGACATTCCCAGAGACTATTTATATGTATTGAATTCATTTTGATTCATTGATGGATGACGATATATACAACCAATAAGGACATTTGTTTTGTGTGGCTTAATGATTTCAACAAAAACAGACTCTAGTAATTTTGGTAAGTAAATCTTTAAGTCATGACGAACTACATAATTTATATTAGACAGATATAAAAGAGCACCACTTTTTTTGGCCTCAGTGGGGCAAGGATAGTTTTAAGCACTTTCTGCTTCTTTCTTCAAATAATCATAATTTCATTTTAATTAATCATAATAATTTCATTTTAATTAATCATAATAATTATATCATCATAATAATCATAATAATAATTAATCGTAATTTTAAGCACTTTCTGCTTCTTTCTTCAAATAATATGAAAATGATTAAAAAGTATGCTTAGGATAATTGTCTTGTTGAAAGATAAACCCAATACTAATAATATATCTTCTGGTTTGTAGCCTAGCAATATACTGATCATAATTTTAAGCACTTTCTGCTTCTTTCTTCAAATAATATGAAAATGATTAAAAAGTATGCTTAGGATAATTGTCTTGTTGAAAGATAAACCCAATACTAATAATATATCTTCTGGTTTGTAGCCTAGCAATATACTGATCATAATTTTAAGCACTTTATGCTTCTTCGTTCAAATAATATGAAAATGATTAAAAAGTATGCTTAGGATAATTGTCTTGTTGAAAGATAAACCCAATACTAATAATATATCTTCTGGTTTGTAGCCTAGCAATATACTGATCATAATTTTAAGCACTTTCTGCTTCTTTCTTCAAATAATATGAAAATGATTAAAAAGTATGCTTAGGATAATTGTCTTGTTGAAAGATAAACCCAATACTAATAATATATCTTCTGGTTTGTAGCCTAGCAATATACTGACTAGGTCTTATGTTCGCATGAGAAAGCAATAAGTATTTTTATAATATTGAGTATGAACAAAGACTTTTGCATACTACTGTATATATACATTTAATATATACAGCCTTTGGAATCAGGAAAAATGAGATTGACAATAAACTGCTAACCTTAAACTGTTATAGGTCGGCAAAAAGAATTGACAAAATAGTTTTACCATAAAACATAGAAATGAGGTCAGCATTTTTTTAATGACCTCAAACACTATTAGGTTAGCAGTATTAGGCTAAAATTAAGCTAAATTTTGTTTTGTTTACAAAAGTAAATTTCTTGGTAGGTAACATTTTTTCAATTTTTTTTATCATATCTTGATTTCATTTTATATAATATTTATTTCTTAAATTATCATATGTGTGTTATCTTTGCCTTTAGCATCCAACTTTTTTTGTTTGAATTTTTGTTTTATTAAATAATTGTCTATATTAGGGTGTGTTATTTATAAAGAAATTTTGATTTAAAAATGCATATTTTTAATAATTTGATCTTGAAAAAAATTAAAATTTTTTTGTAGTTCAACATTTTTTTAAAATTATACCTAAAATTTTAACTGTTAAGACTAATATAGAAAATGCTAGGCATCCACAGATAAATACTCAACAGTTTTAAATCCCTTGTTCTGTCTAGAGACTATTTTCTATATTTCGGTCTTTTCCATGTAATTTTGGAAAATAATACCTGGAAAAATAAATTATTTATTAAAAATAGATTATTTTTCAAGAATTTTTTTTCAAGTAATATATTATTTATTATTTTTTAAGCATGATTAAAAAATACCCTGGTGTTAGAATATTGTATGAAAAATATGTAAAAAAAGTAAAACTTTTTGCTGCTTGCTGCCTTTAAAATAAAAAAATTTCTTAGTGGCCTAGGGATTTAAATAAGGCTCCTTAAGGTCTGCTTGCTGCCCTTAAAATAAAATAAAATAATTTCTTTAGTGGTAACCCTAGGGATAGTTGGTGAGATTTCAGTTTAGGCTCAAAATAGATCAGCAATTCAGCTTCTGTAGCTGAAGCTGATTGATGCCAATTTAATCAGCTTTTGTGGAGAAGTTACTTCAACTTGTTTTCCTAATAATTTTATGTGAGTGAGATTGGAGGAATTACTTCTAATTTTATCTCAGTGGATTTTGAAGATTTATTTTTAGATCTAAAATTAAACAAATCTCAATAAATTACTTACAGTTATGTAAGTTTGGTAAAATGATGCAAATTAATTTCGTATAATTAACAATTTGATATTTGTTGCATATAATTTATGCATACTATATTAAATATGCAGAAACTTATTTCTGATATATTTACATATATAATTGCTACATGTATAATAAAGTATGACTTGTAATACTTTATTGAAATAATTAAATTTTTATAGATTTTGAAATCAGAAAATAATTTTTTAGTTTACACTGTTATGAGTCTCTGTAATATGCTGATCAGCTTCAGTTGGAAGCTAAAGCTAATATGCGGCCTCCCTGGGTCACCCAACAATAAAAATTTCTCTGTTCCAAATATTGCCAAAGTAATAGGTATTGCATCTTTTTCTTATACCAAATGGTTACTAGAATAAAGACACCATTAATAATTTATGATATGATTTTTGTGAAACAGGAGAAATTTTGTAATTTAAACTAATATTTTTTAGTGCATAGTTTAGTCTTTTTTGTTTCTATTAGCTATTAATGTTCTAATAATATCTCTTCTCTCTTAATCAATTAAGCTCTAATTTAAGTTTCTCTTTTTTCAGCTATAAGGAATGTTAATCTTATATTAAGCATGTTATGTACCTACAGATCTCTCCACATTTATGAACTGATTGTGTATAAGAACTTTATTTGAGAATATCCATGGTTTTTAATAATAAATTCTTTAATAGATGCAAATGTAAATTTGTGTGTTAAATTGATTAAAAAGCTCTGCTGCATTATTGATCCAGTTACTGAGGCTAAACAGAATTAGAGGTTCAATATTAATATCAAGTATCCTTTAATGCTTATGGCAATCATCATAATTCTGTTAATACTTTTGTATGATCTTTTTCGCTATTAAAAAAATCATTATTGTCAAAGTTTTTATCAAATTTATTCCCTGATTTTGCTGCTAACTTCTTTTGTGCCTCACAATCTTGCTGTTATCAATAATCAGCAATGCGTCATTCTTTGTGTGTTAAGTTTAGCATCAATAAGTACTGCTGTTACTGTTTCTGCAGTGTGACTTAAACCAGTGTGATGCATCATATTAACAATTGAAATCTTTGTTATGTCCATTACTTTATAAATTTTTACAATATTTTTGCAAGGGCTTTGTTCTCTAAAAAAAAAAATGGTTAGAAGTGTTTTTCATCTGTCTTTCAACCTAGAAAATACAATATTTTATACAATATCTTATTATATTATTATTAATATGTCTTAGATAATTTTATTAATTTAATATTATTGTTGTAATTACTAACTAAGAATATTGTTTGTAAGTACTAAACAATATATTGATCTGGTAATTTTTTTATAAAGTTCTGCTATATAAACATTTTATTTTTCATGTAGGAGTTACATATACATTCACTTAATTTAATTCATGGTCTACAAAACATTTAATAATTAATTTTTGGTTACTCTGTGGTAAACAAGTATAATCTGTGCTAAGCAAGTATAATCTGTGCTTAGCAAGTATAATCTGTGCTTAGAAAGTATAATCTGTGCTTAGAAAGTATAATCTGTGCTTAGCAAGTATAATCTGTGTTAGGCAAGTATAATCTGTGCTTAGCAAGTATAATCTGTGCTAAGCAAGTAAACCTGTGCTTAGCAAGTATAATCTGTGCTTAGCAAGTATAATCATTCAGAATCTATTGATTGGTTTTCTTTTATTTAAATTTCTTTTGCTTTTTTAACTCTAATTCCTGACTTTTTATAATTTTAATTATTCTTTAAAGTCATACCCACCAATAAGGTAACATGCAATTTTTCAACTTTTTTTCTTTGTGAGTTAATAACACAGTTTTTATTTTCTGGCAGGCATATAAACTTAACATGCATAATTTTTCTGTGATGCTTCATTTATATTATTATTAAACATTTATAAGATTATATATCTTCAAGTTTTTCAAGTTTAGAATGAAATCTTTTATTGATTTGTTATCATTTTTATCTGCAGTTTTCAAAACTTGACCTTAGCTTTAATGTTAATTTTCTGAATTATTACATTTAAAAAATGAAATAGCTTTTTCCAACTGAGAAGATAAAGTTGGAGTCATCATCACTGAGAAGATACGGCTGGAGTCATATCAGTAACTAGTTTATCAACTGTATAATTTCATTTCTCTCTCAGAAAAATTCTATATTGCAAAATTTCACTTGCAGTAGCAAGCCTTACATGGTAAAAGTTGCTAATTTTCTCACAACAAATCTACTTGAATTTTTTTAAGTCCCATTTTATTTACTTAAAGTATAATTACTTTTTTATTAAAGAAGTTTTGACTTTTTAAAGTTATAAACAAGTTTTTAGAGACAAAAGAAACTAGAAACAAAGTCCTACAAAAGTTTGTGTTTTTTGCTTCATAGATTTGTTAACTTTAAACTGAGGTTTTATTTAAACCTGACCCCACATCAGTTTTAGAAAAAGCAGACCTAATTATTGGTTCATTATTTTCATATTTTAGTGCCTGTTCAACTGGTGTCATGCTACATTTACTTTTTATCTTATTATTTTTATTTTTATTTAATCTCAGATTTCACATTTTGGGTAATGTCTCGCTTATTTCGATTAATTGCATCACCAGATTGCACCAAGTTGCACAAGAAAGCAATAACTGTGATATTATCTATTTTGCAAGTAAGTTCTTTTAATATCATTATATATTTTTAAAAGAAATAATTTTGTCAGTATTAAATGCCACATATAAAATGATCTTCTTATCTGAGCCAATATTAAACAATTTTTTTTTAGCAGAGAGAGAGTTTTTTTTTTTTACCAAAGAGAGTTTACACTGTGCATAGGAATTTTTTTTTTTTTCAAAGAGAGTTTTATGCTGACAATTTTTGATAGCTTTTATAGAACTTTTTTCTGAAATCAAGAGAATTGTATTTTCATTATATTTTTAGAATTAGACTTTCATTAGATTAATATAACTTTTTTGTTTTATTGACCCTGAGTTCTAAAAGTGGTTATTTAAAAGTTACATGATAGATCTCAGGAGTCTGTTATCTCTTTATCTTTATCTTTCATAACATGCTTTGTGTGTTATCTTAACACACAAAGCATTTTCTAATTTTACTACTTATTAGATTTGTTTTAACTAAGAATTTTATTATTTCATTTTTCAGTTTATTGTATTTCAAAAAAAGTATATATGACAAAAAGTTTTTGCTATAATAAATGTATGACTTAAATCCTAATAGTTTCACAGAAAATGTACATATGTTTGTATATATATATATGTGTGTGTGTGTGTGTGTATGTATATATATATATGTATATGCATATGCAACCCTCGGAATTAGGGTCAGCAATGCCGATCTAATTCTGACCTATTCAGCAATGCCGACCTAACTGCCTACCTGAAAGTGTTTGAGGTTGGTAAAAAATTGCTGACCTCATTTTTCCTAATTCCGAGGGTTGTATATGTATATACACAACCCTTGGAGTATATATATATATATATATATATATATATACATATATATATATATATATATATATATATATATATATATATATATATATATATATATATATATATATATATATATATATATATATATATATATATATCAACCCTCGGAATTAGAAAAACTGAGGTCAGCAAATACAAAGGTCTTACCATAAAACATCAAAACAAGGTCGGCAAAACCAAATTTTTTTGCCGACCGCACACACACGTTTAGGTTGGCAATGCCGAATGCCGACCCTAATTCCAAGGGTTGATATATATGCATAGTTAGTATTTAAAATAATAATAATAAATTATTAATTCATAGTTTATTAATACATTATTGATATATTGTTAAAGCATTAAACTTGTATTTTATTTTCCAGCTTGCACGTATCACAGACGTTTCGTTTTATCGAGAGTTAATTAAAGAAGTTATAGGAGTTTACAAAGGTTTTGTTGTTATTAGTTGTTTTTGAGTTATTATTATATTGTTATTAGTTGTTAGTAACAATTATAAGAATTATATAAATGATAATAATTAGACAAAGAATAAATAACAAAACTTGTTTTTAAAATTTTTGATTCATTTTGAATTTTTTAGATTCTTTATCCGTTGCAGAAGAGTATACTTCTTCTAACAGTGGATTAGTTGATTCCAAAAAAAAAGTTTTTAGTGGAAGATTTCAGAAATCCTTGGTAATAATTCATGCTTTATTGTTTATAGTTATTGATCATGCAATTATCACACAAATTACAGTGCAAAGAAAAAGGTTCATGCAATTGTTTTTTCTAATATTTAAATAATATAAGCTAATAACAAATAATAATTTTAAAATAATAATAATAGCTTTAACATTAATAATAAAAATAATAACTATAATTGTTATAAAAATAGTGTGATGTCAATCATGGAAAAATAGTGTCATGTTGATCAAAATAAAAATAGTGTCATGTCAATCAATCATGTCAAAAAATCATGGCATTCCTAGTCATAATATTAAAACAAATTTATATTGGGGCTGGTTAGGCTTTTTAGCAAGCAGCTTACCTAGAAAAAAAAATCTGTGATATAAACCCCTCACCTCAATTGTGGGGTAGTAGTCTGATATAAACACCTCACTTCAATTGTGGGGTAGTAGTCTGATATAAACCCCTCACTTCAATTGTGGGGTAGTAGTCTGATATAAATCCCTCACTTCAATTGTGGGATAGTAGTTTGATATAAACCCTACACTTCAATTGTGGGGTAGTAGTCTGATATAAACCCTTCACTTCAATTGTGGGATAGTAGTCTGATATAAACCCTACACTTCAATTGTGGGGTAGTAGTCTGATATAAACCCTTCACTTCAATTGTGGGATAGTAGTCTGATATAAACCCTACACTTCAATTGTGGGGTAGTAGTCTGATATAAACCCCTCACTTCAATTGTGAGGTAGTAGTCTGATATAAACCCCTCACTACAATTGTGGGGTAGTAGTCTGATAAAAAACCCTCACTTCAATTGTAAGGTAGTAGTCTGATATAAACTCCTCACTACAATTGTGGGGTAGTAGTCAGATATAAACCCCTCACTTCAATTGTGAGGTAGTAGTCTGATATAAACCCCTCACTACAATTGTGGGGTAGTAGTCTGATATAAACCCCTCACTACAATTGTGGGGTAGTAGTCTGATATAAACCCTCACTTCAATTGTGGGGTAGTAGTCTGATATAAACCCCTCACTACAATTGTGGGGTAGTAGTCTGATATAACCCCCTCACTTCAATTGTGGGGTAGTAGTCTGATATAAACCCCTCACTACAATTGTGGGGTAGTCGTCTGATATAAACCCCTCACTACAATTGTGGGGTAGTAGTCTGATATAAACCCCTCACTACAATTGTGGGGTAGTAGTCTGATATAAACCCCTCACTACAATTGTAAGGTAGTAGTCTGATATAAACCCCTCACTACAATTGTAAGGTAGTAGTCTGATATAAACCCCTCACTACAATTGTGGGGTAGTAGTCTGATATAAACCCCTCACTACAATTGTAAGGTAGTAGTCTGATATAAACCCCTCACTACAATTGTGGGGTAGTAGTCTGATATAAACCCCTCACTACAATTGTAAGGTAGTAGTCTGATATAAATCCCTCACTTCAATTGTGAGTTAGTAGTCTGATATAAACCCCTCACTACAATTGTGGGGTAGTAGTCTGATATAAACCCCTCACTACAATTGTGGGGTAGTAGTCTGATATAAACCCTCACTTCAATTGTGGGGTAGTAGTCTGATATAAACCCCTCACTACAATTGTGGGGTAGTAGTCTGATAAAAACCCCTCACTTCAATTGTAAGGTAGTAGTCTGATATAAACCCCTCACTACAATTGTGGGGTAGTAGTCTGATATAAACCCCTCACTTCAATTGTGAGGTAGTAGTCTGATATAAACCCCTCACTACAATTGTGGGGTAGTAGTCTGATATAAACCCCTCACTACAATTGTAAGGTAGTAGTCTGATATAAACCCCTCACTACAATTGTAAGGTAGTAGTCTGATATAAACCCCTCACTACAATTGTGGGGTAGTAGTCTGATATAAACCCCTCACTACAATTGTAAGGTAGTAGTCTGATATAAACCCCTCACTACAATTGTGGGGTAGTAGTCTGATATAAACCCCTCACTACAATTATAAGGTAGTAGTCTGATATAAATCCCTCACTTCAATTGTGAGGTAGTAGTCTGATATAAACCCCTCACTACAATTGTGGGGTAGTAGTCTGATATAAACCCCTCACTACAATTGTGGGGTAGTAGTCTGATATAAACCCTCACTTCAATTGTGGGGTAGTAGTCTGATATAAACCCCTCACTACAATTGTGGGGTAGTAGTCTGATATAACCCCCTCACTTCAATTGTGGGGTAGTAGTCTGATATAACCCCCTCACTTCAATTGTGGGGTAGTAGTCTGATATAAACCCCTCACTACAATTGTGGGGTAGTAGTCTGATATAAACCCCTCACTTCAATTGTGGGGTATCAAAAATCTTAGTAATCTTAGCGTAAATATTTGATTTAATTTTAATTGATTAAATTTTATTAAATAAATTATTTAAAGTTAGTTAATTTAAATTAATTAATTAAAAAATAACTAATTTTAATTTTAAATAGTTAAGTGTAAATTGAAGTTATTTATATATTATATTGTATTAACATGAATTTTAAATAATAATACATTTTGTATAAACCTGCATATTAAACTTGTATATCGAGGTCAGTTTTGTTTAATAGTTTACCTGTTACTGAAGTTACTGTAGTACCACTTTAAATTTTATTTTATTGTCTCAAGTGTGGTTCATCAAGCACTTCATCAATGCCTCCAAAATTGATTGAAATATTTACTTACTCACATTGTCAACACCTTTTAACAGCAACCAGGTAAATGTACAACACCTTTTAAAAGCAGCTAGGTAAATGTACAGATTTAAATTTAATTTTGGGTCAGGTTTTTTGAATTGATTGATTAATGAAAATTGATTTGTTATTGGCATAATGGTTTGTGTTTAATAAAGGCTTTGACTGCACAATGTAAAAAGATTGCATTAAATCTTCAATAATGATATATTTTTTAGTGAAATCTTGTTGGAAAGCATGTTGCATGTTCAGCAATATGTTAATGAGTCGAAAATGTCTTTAGTAATTTTATGCTTCCAAACAATTCAATTATGTGATGAATCTCTAATAAAAGTAAACTTATTATTTATCAGCCTCATTTGTTATCAATATTTTTTTACATGTTTTTAGATTTCTATTTTTTTGATGAATCCTGTAATGATAGCTTTTAAAAATTTTCAGATATCATTATCTTTAATGAATTCGATAATGCTAGCTTTTCCAATAATATTCACCTGTTTTATTGAAAAGTATTTATGCATATTCATTGGAGTTGTTGAGTTCGTTGTGTCCTGTCCAAGGTAAATTGTTTTTCTAATAACGATTTTGTAATATAGAAATATATAATATTCAGTGGAAAACCTGTTGTTTTAACTTGTAAAAGTTTCTTTGTTGGTATGTAGTCAATTAAATTGTATATAGGCATATATTAATTATCATGTATGCATAATTAGTTTAATTTTATAAAACATGTTTTAATTTTTTTTTTTACATTATTCTTATTTTTCTAAAAAGTGTCTTAATTAAAGTAGGCATCTTGAAAATCAAGGAAAACCATATTAACATAATAATCAAGGTAAATAATAAGGTGGTCATATGAAGCTAGTCATAACATAATAGTACAATGTCAAAAGGTTTCTTTAATGCTGTAATTTTTAGTTAGGCTGATTCCATTAGCAGCTGTAAAATATTAGAGTAATAATAGTGCTATAATGTGTATGAATGGTATTCCTGTTAGTGCTTTTGGTGTAAAATATCGAGGCCAGATAGAGTTTTTTGTCATATTTTTTAGGTCATAAACTTAAGTGCAGTTAGCTACCTTGTAGTTGTCTCTAGCTACCAGTCTTGAGCCTTTATTTTATTTTTGTAGTTATGAAGTCTTTTCTTGTCTTTACAAATTATATAATAATTTTTTTTAAAAACTATTATATTATTTGTGCCTGTTGTCATAAAAAAATTTGTTGACAACAAGCCCTGTTGTCAACAAATCTTTTTATGACAACAGGCCTTGTTTTAATTAAAAAGTGCTTAATACATTAGCTTAATGTGATATTTAGCATAAATGAATTAAAATTTGTAAAATTTTTGAATTTTTAAAATGATTATTTCTTAAATTTTTAATTGCTGCTTTGCAACTAAAAATGATTTTTTATTTAAAAAAATTAGAGAGTAACAAGTAGAAAAATTACATTAATTTATTTACTTTATTTATTAAAAGTTTATTATTTTATTATTAAAATTATATTGCTGTATGTATTGTTTATTAAAAAATAATTGCTGCAATTTAACTTGCGTTATAACAAAAAAGTTTACCTTATGTTTTGTGCAATTTTTTGATGCAGCCGGTTTTTTTTTAAATTTGATTGTGAGGAAAAAAAAAACGTTTAGGAAGAAAAACTGAAAAAGTTGCAATAAAAATGAGCTAATTTTTTTTTAAGAACAAATAAAATTTCAATATTAAATAATATCTACTAATGTTTTTAAATAAATTTGACAGTTAAGTTAAACCCGAGAACCCCTTTAATCTTGATAAACTTAAATATATTTTTTAAATCAAAATTAAATTATATATTTTTTAATTAAATTATTTATTTTTTATTAGAATAAGATTATATATTTTTATTAAATTAGTTTTAAATTAAATTATTTTTTATCAGAGTTAAGTTATGTTTTTATGATCTTTGCTTATTTTTATGATCTTTGCTTATCAAGCTTAAAAAATCAATCATTACAATAAAATAAAAACAAAATAAAAATAAACTTTCAATTTTATTTGAGTTTTTTTCATTAGTAAATATTTGAAAACAAATGCCCATCGGGTAGTAAATAGTGCAAAGATAATTGTCATTCAAACTTTTGTAACAAATATTTTTACATAATCGTCATTCAAAAAAAATGATAAAAAGTCGCTTAACCGAAACCGCTTACTGCTTATTTAAAATTGCTTAAGGCGTACAAAAATCGCTCTACGCGTAAATTTTACTCCAAATGCTAAAAATTTGAGCGCAAATGTCTTTACAACGGTGAAAAATGGGTTGCATATTTAAAATCAAAATTTGAAATACTATACATAAATTGTATTGTTTGCTTACAACAGAAAATTGGAAACTATTAAATTTGAACTAATACTTCAAATAATAATAATACTTAATTTTTTGTGAATTTAATTTTACTTTTTAATAATAATAACACAATTTTTTGAAGGCTTGTGTTATTATCATGTTGTCCTGATTCTCATACAATTACATTTTTATTTTTAAGGTTGACACATATCTTTTAATGTTGAAACATTTCTTTTAAGGTTGACACATTTCTTTTGCAGAATTGACTTAGAGTTTATGGAAACATTAAAAAGATCTATTGACATGATTATTTTACTCAAAGATGATTTTTTTTCCACAAAATTACTTAAAAAGCTTATCAATTTAAATATGTCAAGAGAAGTGCATGACGAAGTTGAGGTTAGTTATTATATATTTTGGTTATTACATTCATTTTAAATATTTTTGCGCTATAATATTTCATATTATTTTTCATTTTTAAATAAAAAGTTTATGTAGTTTCAATTATTATTTGTTTTATTTTATTTTCACAAACATTTATACAAAATTTATATTCAAATACAAAGTTATAAAGAAGTAATTAAAAAATAAAACTTTTTTGTTTTTTTCAGGAGTTTCTTTTAGAAAGTTCTAAAAAAATGGTTTTACTTTCTTCAACAGTTGCAGAGGAAGAATACCAAAGTATCATTTTATTATGCCTAAAAAAAGTTGCATCTCAACATTTAAATAAAGTAATATTATTAGTTTTTAATATAACTCCATATATATGTATATGCACTTATTTGAATTAGTTGATTTATGTGTGTGTTTTCTCGATAAATTTTGCATAGTTGTATAGTTAAAAAACACTTATCAAATTTTTTTTGTCAACTGGCATTTTCTCCTACTGTAGGATCTTCAGTGTCATTTCAAGTTATTTAATTTTGTTGTACTTTAAGAATATTAGGTACTAATTTGGTAGAATATAATTAAACAATATCTTAATATACTTACATGAAGTATTATTGGTGATCATACAGAAATAGTATACAGGCTATAGTATATTAAAGAACAAAACAGTAATTAAATAATTTCCTGATGAAGTCAAATAAGTATTTTACTAATTTATATATTTATATGTATGTATGTATATATGTATGTATGTATGTATGTATGTATGTATGTATGTATGTATGTATGTATGTATGTATGTATGTATGTATGTATGTATGTATGTATGTATGTATATATATATATATATATTTGCTCTGTTCTTTTAAGAACATTGAGCACTCTATTTTGTAGAATACATTTTTAAAATTGTTTAAACACACACACACACAGATATATATATATATATATATATATATATATATATATATATATATATATATATATATATATATATATATATATATATATATATATATATATATATATATATATATATATATATATATATATATATATATATATATATATATATATATATATATACACACACACACAACCCTCGGAAATACCAACCTAACTGCCGACCTAAAAGTCTTTGAGGTCGGCTGTATCAACCTAACTGCCGACCTAAAAGTCTTTGAGGTCGGCTGACCTCATATCAAATTCTTTTTGCCAACCTGATGCCTACCTCAAAAAGATTAAAAACAAGGTCAGCATATTAATGCCGACCTCATTTTTCCTAATTCTGAGGGTTGTATATATAAGTAAAAGTCTTCTGATTATAGGTGTGCAATCAAGCACCTTATCTGATCAAGCATATAATATTTTGTTTTGGCAACTTGGCCACAGCACTTTGCATGTTTTGATTATTCTTTGTTTTTAAAATGTGCATAAAAAACCAAACTGAACTAAAAAGAAAATCAAAAATGAAAACCATAAACTGAAAAAAAGAGCATAATCTAACAAATGATAAAACAAATAAAAGATAAAACCATAAAAAATACAAACATAAAATTAATATATTTTTTAAAATTAAAAGCTTCTCAATAAGTAGTTCAAACGAAGTAATTTTTTTATTTAAAAATAGTAATTTTTTAAATTTAAAAACATCTTAATACTTTGAAGCTAAAAAATTTTCACATATAACAACATTAGTACAGTGTAGTTATGTAATGTTATATATATGAGGTGCAAGTCTTAGTTTGGTATTGGTTGTAGGTTCAAATCTTTTTAATGGATCTTTTCCCAATATTTTAATCTCTTAGTAGACATAAGAAAATATTAAAGTTTTGAATTTTTAAATAGTTATGTTTCGAAGTAATTAAGTTTGAATTAATTAACTTTTACGCTTTTCTAAATTCTATTAGTTAAAACATAATAAAATATAATTTAATTTAAAAAAAAAACATTAATTTTATGCTTTTATTTTATTTTGTTTATTTTTTATTTGTTTTATTATTCATTAAGATTTTGCTCCATTTTTCAGTTTATGGTTTGTTTTTTAGTTTTCTTTTCAGTTTAGTTTTGTTTTTTCAGTGTGTTTTAAAAACACTAATTATCAAAACAAAGTATTGTATGTGTGGTCAGATAATGTGTCAGACAGCACACCCTTCCTCAAAAGGTGTGTTATATATACAAATACTTATCTATTGATACAATGTTTTAGGTTAAGAAAAAATGTTTGGCTTCATTATTGCAGAAAGCTATTCTTATGACACATAGTTTATCAACTAGCAGGTTTTAATTTAGTTTATTCAATTATAGAAATCAAAGTAGAAAATTTAACAATATTTTTACTTGTTGTCAACTGTGACATTAATTTTATGTGACGTCAAATGTAAAATTACCTAAAAAAGTGTATGGAACACCTAGTAGAAAATCACTTTTAACTGATCTGCATGGATTGATCACTTTTAACTGATCTTCATTAATGAATGTGTAATTAACATAAGTAACGGGTAACGGATAAACATGAATTTATGAATAACAACGCATGTATAATTATTTTGATAGAAACAATTTTTTTTTTAATTAATTAGCTTGTGGTTGATTTAGTTTTGAATGGATTTGGAATTCGCTATATCATTTTACGTTGTTCCTCATTGACATTTAATTAACAAACTTTTAATATATGGTCACACTTTAAACTGGATTGAATCCTTTCTGAGATTTTTTTCGAAGAATTTTCATCATTTCTAAAAGTTGCCTAAAAAAGGTCATGAAAGAATTTTCAATATTTTGGAAAAAAAGCTTGGATTGAAGTCTTGCATGTATCTAACCTTTGTAAGGCTTTATACTTTATAATATGCTTTATAATATATCTCATAATATACATTAATGATATTGTTTAAACTTTTAGCTGGTGTAAAATTGCAAAATGGTCACACAAACTATACTTGAATGAGATAAAATTTTAAGTAGTGATGTTTAATCTAGTAGAATAAAATAATGTATGAAGTATTATGTCAAGTAATGTATGCATCAAAGTAATGTATGAAATGTTATTTCAAGTAATGTGTGCATTAAAGTAATGTATGAAGTATTATGTCAAGTAATGTATGCATCAAAACTTTCAATAAATTAGGCTTACTTATTTGGATATTAAATTACATCAAACAAAGTACACAGGAAATTGTAGGTTTATTTGGATATTAAGTTGTATTAAACAGAATACACAGGATGCTGTAGATATACTTGGATATTAAATTGTATTAAACAGAAGACACAGGGTGCTGTTGGTTTATTTGGATATTATATTGCGCTAAACAGTAGACACAGGAAGCTGTAGGTTTACTTGCAAATTAAATTGCATTAAAAAGAAGGCACAGGGTGCTGTAGGTTTACTTGGGTACTAAATTGCATTAAACAGAGGACACAGGATGCTGTAGGTTTACCTGAATAATAAATTGCACTAAACATAAGGTGCAGAACAATGTAGGTTTACTTGAATAATAAATTGTGCTAAACTGAAGACACAGGGCGCTGTAGGTTTACTTGGATGTTAAATTGCGTTAATTAAAAAAGAAAACACAGGATGCTTACTTGGACTTGGACTTGGACTAGGAAAATCTATTTAATTCTGAAAATAATAATTGAATACAATAAAATCTGAAGATAATAATTAGGGATGTGCCAGGTACCTGGTTTGGACCTGGGGGCCTGGTAATTGGGCTGTTTTCCCAGGTACCCAGAATTGGCCAGTTTGTTGCAGTACCCAGCATCGGGTATCTTAAAAGAAATTTGTAATAAACATAAGCCCTTAATGCTGTAACTATTTGGTTTAGTGGTACTTTAAATTGTGTCAAAATATTATTAACAGCATTGCTTTTAGTTTAAAATTCAACCAATAAACGTTTTGATATAAGTCTAAGAGTGTTTCGGAGTTGCTAACAACAAAATCTTATTTGCCTAATATAAGCGTGTCTCATTAAATATTTAAAAAAAATATGTTTTTGCAAAATAGAAAATTTATTTAAAATTGTTAATATATTTACTAAGTAATAATACATTTTTTATAATAATTTAGTTTTAGTTTTTATTTCTTTTATTTAAATTTTATTGTCCGAAAATAATTTGACTTTAAATGTTTCAAACAATGAAAGCATTTTCGAACTTATTTTGAACAATTATAACGATTTTCATTTATGTTAAGCAAAAAATATTGGAAGTAGAGGTAGAAGGTTTTACATATTCTTCTGCAGGACCTTTTGCTATTGTTAAATAGTTAAACATTTATTTATAGAGCTTTTTAATTTAAAAATTATAAAAATAATCGTTTTATTTTAAATATTTAATCGAAAACATACCTTTATTACCTTTATAGAAATTTTATTTGAAGGTAAAATTATGTCTAAAAAATGACCACATATCTAAAAAATGATCACATATCATAAATATCAATGACCACAGATCTGTTTGAATCCATAAAAAAATATGAAAACTTATCACATTGGATATTAAGGCATTTTCTATTTTTGAAACTATGGGATTTAATGAACTGATTACCATAGAGCATATTTCTTTCAAAACATACTTCCTACCATGTATGATGAATTGTTGAAAATATTAAAAAAATCTCTGCCATAAACTATTTGTCTCTGACGCCAGATATTTGGACAGTGGATACTGTGAAAATCACATTCTTAAGCATTTCTGGACATTGAACAGATTAAACTAAATTTACCCAAGAAACTGCTCTTTTTCGAGTAATTTATTTTCTGGAAAATCAGACAGGTGTTCATATCAAAGAATATTTACAAAAAGGTTTAGAGTCTTTTGAAATCTTGTTAAGCAAAATTCATCTCATTGTTACAGATAATGCAGTAGTATGAAGGCTGGAGTAAAAAACAGTGGCATGTCATCAATTCTATGCTTTATTCATACTTTGCAGCTACGTATTCACGACTCTATATTTAGCCAAAAATCCATAAAGGGCATTTTAACTTTGCTGGAACAGTTCATTTGAAATGCTACAAAGAATGTTTGAACAAAAAGTTTGTTTAGCCATTTACGCAGCAGAATTTGATGAAATTAAACTCCTAATAACCATTAATAGGGAATAATTGAAAAACTTGTTCACATTCTTGCTCCATTTGAAAACTTAACAAAAAAATGTGGCAAAAAGGACGAAACTTGCACACAAATTATGCTATTTGTTCTTGCATAGAAAGTTTTATTAAAAAAAGCTTCCTCAAGTGATAATTATGCTGGAATTATGGTGATGATTGATGAACTAATAAAATCTGGTACTAAAAGACTTGATAAAATTTTGCTAAATAAAATCTTATGTGTATCAACATTTTTAGATCCACGATATAAATTACTTTATCAACACGCAGATGAAGATGTTATTAAGGTGTGGATTGAAGAAGCATGGAATGAAATGCAAGGAGCGCGAGATATCATTGACTCTGGTTCAGACAATTTTCCAGTAGTGAAAGCTCCGGCCTCTACTGATTCATTAGTCATGATGATTGTTTGGAAGAAAGCAGAGTGAAAAATGTTTTGAGGCAGAAAGAGAGCCAGCAAAGATTAAAGTTGTTACCATTGAGCTAACAAAGCAGCAAACAATATTAAGGTCTGCAATTACTCATGAAATTTTACAACTATTTATCTCTGCCTTATTTATAAAATGAAGGTTATCCGTTTTTGCAATGGAGTAAATGTGGAATGCAATTTGAAAAACTGCATAAGATGGCATCAAAATATCTTACAGCACCTTTGTCATCAATAGAAAGTGAAAGGTTATTTAGTGCTGGTGGGGACATATACAAAGCAACAAGGAGCAGACTAAAAGCAGATAACAGAGAATGTTTGTTCATTATAATCTAATGTTAAACAATTAAAGCAAGAAAAGTTAGTTATATAAAGGAATTGCTTTTTGAATAAAAGCTCCTAATTATAATGCTTTCTTTGTTAATTGTGCAAGCTTTATTTGTTTTGTCTATTGTTGTTAAATTATTCTGGATTTATATTTCATATTTTTCTCAAAATTTAAGTGCTTCGGTGTAACAAAATAACTTCCAGAAATTATAATTTGTATGCATATCTCTAATAGAGTAAATGCCAATGAAGTATTTATTTAATTACTAAAGTGATTTTTAAGCTTTAAATGATGGTTTTTTATACATTTATTTTCATAGAACTTATCATTTGTAAACATCATCCTAAGATCTTGGCATGATTTTGTATTTTGTATTGAAATTTAAAGAGATTCTGTACCTAAATACCTTGGGGTTTTCATTGACAAGAACATCAATGGAAACATCATATTGTCAATGTTCTTTATTTGTTTTAATTTTTATAATTTTATAAAAATTGAAACTTTTTTTTTTTTTTTTGATGTTCTCTTTCTCTCTTCATCTTTTTTTCTATAACATAACTTTTGATTAATTAGTGCATATAAGTGATTATATAATGATGGAAAAAGATTATTTATGTACATTGAGTTTACACTTTGTATAATTCAAATTTGTGACCTTGAGTGCAGTTATTGTGAGTGAAAATTGTGAGTTATTAAAAAAAAACTTTTCAGCGCTTAAAATTCTTTTATTCCAACTTTTTGGAATAAAAGCTTGATAAAAAAATAAAAATGAATTTGAGCTGGGACTCAGACCTGGTATTTTCTTGGAATCGGGGACTCAGCATAAACTGGTTCCAGCACACCTCTAATAATAATGTTAAAACATTTAGATACTCAGATGATCATCAAACTCTAAAAACATTTCTGCCTTCATTTCAATATAATACAATAGTCTTGATATGCCAAAATTTATTATTTAAGTATCTGAATGGATGAGTGATTCGTTCAACCAATGGAAAACAAAAATACTAGTTACAGCATTGCTATAAAAAAAAATACATATAAAACAATTCTTTATAAAATAAGAATTGTTGACTATTGTGTATATATCTACTATTTTTTTCACATTTAAATTATTGCAACTTCCCCTACAATTGAATGGAAAAGATACTGTTAAAAAAAATGCAGTTGATGCAAAATTGTATAGCAACACTAGTATTTTAAACAAGTATTTCAAATATCAAGTAAATGAACATCAAATAAATAATTTGCATTGGCTGAAAATCAGAGAAATAATGCATAGTTCTCTTATCCAGAAAACACCCATGTCATTATGTAACTTAATTTAATACTCATCTTCAGAAAGAACACTAAATTTAAAGGAAATAAAATTCAGTAATAGTTTTGGTAATCAAGCATTAAATCATATTTTATTAAAACTAATAAAATTAGAGTTAGAATTATATTAAAAATAGAATTAATGATATATGATTTAATGCAAACTCGTGTTAATCTTCATTCAATTAAGTGTCATCATTTTACTGTGACTGTTCCTAAGTACTTCAAAAAATCTTTTTTCGTCTAGTTTTTTTTCATTTCTTTACAGAATTCCCTCCCTTCATCTTGTTTTCCTGAATCATATTATTTGCAATCTTTTAAGTCGTCTGTTAATCATTATTTTGTTTAAACTTCATCTCTTCTTTTTATTTCGACTTCCAGTTCAAATATTTAATCTTTGCAATTTTCTTTTGTTTCATATAACTTTTTTTTATAGCATTAATTCATAAACCATAAGCTTGTTAACACTATTTGCGCATTTATCTCTTTTCATTCCCGTATTTGTATTCCCTTCTTGATTGCTTAATAAGATTTGATAATTTGCTGCTCACGATTAGTATCCTTTGAAATAACATTGATTCCTTTTTCTTATACTAACTAATGTCAAGTTGGTGGTCCTTTTTAATTAGGTGAAAACCGCGTCTATAATTAGCTTTTCATCCAATAAACTTGAGAGTGAATTTTTAAATATGAATTTATTTGAATTTATCTTTATAACACTTCAACTGAAGAATATTTTCTCATCTTTTTATCAACTGAAGAATATTTTCTCATCTTTTTATCTTTTTATCAAAAATTTTTAAATTCAAATTGCATTTCTAATTGTTTTAATTTTAATTTTCCTTAATTGATTTCAAAAAATATGAAAGTTTTTATAGTTGTATTGAGAATAAATTAATGTATGCTGTTCAAAATTCTAAAAATCAAATGTATGCTGTTCAAAATTCTAAAAATCTAATGTCTGCTGTTCAAAATTCTAAAAATCTAATGTCTGCTGTTTAAAATTCTAAAGCTGAAGTTGATTAAAACAAATGCATAAAACAAAGTTTTTTTTTATTTCAGTGAAAAACTTGAAAGCCATTTATTATGTTTGTGTTTAAATCTGGAAGATGCAGAAGCTGATCACGGACAACAACACTTAGAAGAAGTTACATTTTTGTTAAAAGTAATAGCAAAAGTTTATTCATGTGAAAAAATTAAAGGTTATTATTTATACTTATACAAAAGTTTGTAAAAGTTTCCATAACAACATAACATTCTGTTAAAAAAAGTTTTATGAACACTAACAGTTATAGCTTTGATAATTATATGTTATACAATTTAATATGGATATATGTTCTTTTTATTTTTTATTTATTTTGTTTTTAGATTTGCTTAAAAGAATTAATTTTGGAAAACTTGTTGATAAAGTTTTTGAAATATTTCATTCATTGCTTAACCTCAAAGACATCAATAAAAATATTTTATTTATACGCACTTTATCATTTCTAAAGCTCTACTCCCACCTCAGTATCTCTGCAACATTTACAGAAATAGATCCAAATAAGTTAAATCGACTCTTTGAAGTTTGTACAATACCATGGTTGAAAACAATTGATCCACCCTGGTTTGATTACAAGCCAAAGTATTATACAGAAAATGAACTCATGCAGATGCATGAGTTACTAAAGTTATGCTTTGTCAATCATAATGTTACAAAAAGATGCCTTGCCATTTTGGCAACAGTAACAAACAAAAACCAGTGTAATGCGCCAACTTGGCTGATCCATGTTATAAGAACAGCTTTAGTGAGTTTTTCTCAAAGTTATTTTTATTTTATTGCTTAACACTGTTTTTGACCAAGAGCTTCTATTAAGTTTGAATTTTTTAAAGTTATAAATAAGTACTTGTGTTTAACTAGGTTTGATATTCAGTTTTTTTTTTTTTTTTCTAATTTTTTTTTTTTGTCTTTTTCTCCAAATTTTGTTGTCTTAAAATTTAAAAAACATCAATATCTTAAAGTTCAGGCTCTCATATCTATAACTAGTTGAAGTTCAGGCTCTCATATCTATAACTATCAAGTTAGATATGTTTCAACTTTTATTGTTTTTTTAATTTAATAGGTTTTAGACAATTGCGTATTTTTTAAAAAGTTTTTTAACATTTTTCAAAGTTTTTAACAATAGTTGGTTTATTGGTTTATCATCACACTACACAAATTGTGGAGGGCCATCCTTTTCACTATACAAATTGTGAAGGGTCATCCTTTTCACTACAAAAATTGTGAAGGACCATCCTTTTCATTACACAAATTGTGAAGGGCCATCCTTTTCACTATACAAATTGTGAAGGGTAGCATAGTTTATATTTATAAGGAAAACTGTTTTACATTGTTTAATTAAAGGAATTTAAACCCTGCTGAATCTATTTACAACACTACACAGAGTGTGAAGGGTAGTGTTAAAAAAGGTATATGAGTGTGATGGGTAGTGCAGTATGTGTTAAAAAGAAAAACAGTTTTACTTTTAGTAAATTGAGATAAGTTTAATTACTTCCAACTTACTTGAAAATTAAACAATTTTTTTTTAGGCTAGCCCATATGTTATACTACAACTAAAAGTTTTAAATTGTCTACCAAGAATTCTTACTTCTCTAACTGCGGCAAGTGAGACACTAGTTTCTGAAGACCTAATAACTCTTAGTCGAGCTGCAAAGCCAGAGGTATTAGCCAGTATCGGCTTGACAATAAATTTATTAGTTTGTGTGGTTGCAGAGAGTGTTGATACACATTACAAAGACGGATCATTTATTGTGGAATGCACTTTATGTAAAACAGGTAAAATTGGAAAAATTATTTTTTATTTTTAAGTTTTTTATTTTTATTTTTCATTTTTATCTTTATATATATTTTTTAAAATTATCTTGATTGTTATTGTTATTGTTTTTATTATTTTGTTTATTGACCTGGTTTAAAGGCAGTTTAAAAAAATGATATTTGTTTGTAATGCTTTTTATATTATTACTGAAAACAGTTTGTCAATAATGTTTTAAGAGTCTAATGCATTTTCTGCAATATCTTTTTGTCAATATATTTTAAGTAAAAATATTTACGAATCTCTATAAAAATACGCTTCTTTTGAGACCCTGGAATCCAGTCTCTTCTTTTGATATATTTTTTAATAATTTTTTTAACAGTAACAATAACAGTAAAGATAATTTAAATCTCTACTTAATTACAATCAAAATAATATTTTGCTTATAAATTTATAATTGTCCATTTATTTTTTAAAGAGAATTGTTGCATTCAATTGAAAAGCTCACCCCCCTTGCTACCGATTTTTAAGCCATTTTTCAAGCTTCTTAAACATAGTACTTGTAGAGCTTTTAAAACAAGTTTAATGCAAACATTTTTAAAATTGCTTAAACATATCAGTGAACAAGAGAGAATTTATATGAAAAATTTGTGGAATATAATGTTGGAGTTGTTGAAAGATCCAGACTTCCAAACAAGGCTGATATTTTCGTGTGTTTTTTTTTTTTTCAATTATTTTTTTTAGTTTATTAGCTTGGTTTTTATTTTATTATTTATACTTTATTTTAAAATCATAGTTGCCTTAATTGTTATTTGTTGTTATTATTTTATTTCAGTGGCTGGTTGGGGGAATATATAAAATATACTGATGATGTGTCAGTTCACTCATTGGTGGTTGAAACAATATCTTCCACTCTTTCCCAAGCTTCTGAGATTAATGACATAAAGGTTCTTGAAACAGTTATTTTAACAATTGGAAGTGTAAGCAAAGTTGCAAAAGGTAATCGTTGTAATTTTTACATCATCCTTTTTTAAAAATATTGATTAATAAGTTATTCTCTTGATTCTTTTTTTAGTGGTATTGATTTTAAATTTGAATCACCTTTCCTGCAATAAAATTAGGCTTATTTAAAAAAAAAATTAAATTTAAAAATAAAAATAATAAAAAAGTTTAATACAAAACTTGAAGTTTAATACAAAACAACTCTGTATGCTTAGTTAAGTAGTTATTTACAATTTAAAATTTCTAAATAAAAAAAAATTTATAATATAGAATTTTTGTAATATTTTATTGAAATGTTTGCCTTTGCCTTTATATATATATATATATATATATATATATATATATATATATATATATATATATACGGCAATGTCGACCTAACTGCCAACCTGAAAGTGTCAGCAAAAAATTATAATTTATCTTTTGAGTTAACAATTAAACAAGCTTAGTTAATTAATACTTATAACTTATATTAACATTTATAAAGCTTAATTTTTAATTTATTAACCAGGGTTGGAAGCCTAATCATTTTTTAATCTTTCTCTGACCCCTTTTCCTACCTAACAATTTTCAAGGTATGTAAAATTTTGGCAAAAATATCTATGAAAGGAAACTGTTTCTTTCACCATAAGTGCACAAACTTAACTAAAAATTTTTGAATAAAAATCATTGGGATCATAAAAATGTGTGATCCTAATGATTTTCTCCTTTTTCCTATTTTTCATATTTTCATGTTGTAAGATATTTTTAGAAATTGTAATTGAAAGTTTTAGTGAAAATAATTTTGATTTTAGATGCGGAGAGCTATTACTAAAACAATAATAAAAAGCAAAATAAAAGAATATAAAAATCATTTTTTTACAATTATTAAATAATATAATGCAAAAGTGCAACAAAATGAACAAACAATATCTTTTTAACAAAATATATCCTAGCAACAGGCCTTGCGAGCTTGCCACTCTTTTTCCAAATCAAGTAATGTTATAAAAAAAATTTATAATGATGTTTTTTTGTCACCCTTCTTTCTCCCTTGGATAAAAGACTGTGACCAATCAATAAATGATCCTGTTATAAAGAAGTTACATATGGCAGGCAACAATGTTCAAAATGAGTTTTAAATTCTCATTGTTTCTTTGCAAAAGCTATTGCTATTAGAAAGGTCTCAGAAGGCTCTTGATGAAAAAAAGTTTAAAGATAAGATGAAAAACTGGCTTTCTGGAATCCAGTCTCTTCAAATATGGCTAAAGTAGTCACTGCAGCTCAAGATAGACTTTAACTCTGAACAACTTGATAATGAATTAAACAAAATCAAAGCTTGCTTATCTGATGTTGATTCAAAGTGGAACAATTTTTTAAAGTTAACAACAGAGTGGAACGAAACACTTTGTGACATGGTTATGCTGTCATGCAAGAAATAATGATTATGCTGTCATGCAAGAAGATGTGCAGAAGGATTAAGATGTGCAGAAGGATAAAAAATAATGATTATGCTGTCATGCAAGCTGCATAGCTCATTGATTAGGACATCAATTCCTGCCTAGGATGATGAATGCTGGATCTCCTTGACTCTACTCATAGAATTTTGTTTATGCCTCCTTGATAATGGCTATGCAACTCTTCCTGTTATCTCCATATGAGGGCACAGCTCTAAAACTCAGTTTAATGGTTCTGAGGCCGGCTGGTAGTAAGGTTTCCCTAACTCTGTGGTAGCTCTCAGAGAGGCTGATTCCATCAACAGCTACAAAATATCAGAGTATTAACAGTGCCATGTTGCGCATGGATGGTGTCCCTGTTAATGCTTTTGGTGTGCATTGTCAAGGCCACATAAGGAGCCCTATGTCTTAAGGTTAATTAACAGGACTGAGACAACTGCATAGCTCATTGATTAGGAGGCTGTGCTCTATCTATGAATGAGTCAAGTTCTCATTAAACCCAAATCATGACAAAGTAACCAAAAGTTCAAAACCTAAAAAACCATCCCCACCACCTAAATGTTTTATATATCTTTTACAAATATTGGCTCAAACACCACTGATCCTGCTGGCACTAAAGCCTTTAACTTCTGCGTTTCTCAATCTCTTACTCAGATAGTTAATTTTGTGACTCGTTTTCCTGACAACCCTAATCATTTACCTTCACTTGTTGACTTATGTCTTGTCTCTGACCCTAGCTTTTGTTCAGTTTCTCCCTTTTCTCCCTTAGGTGGTTCTGACCATGCAATGATCTCTATAAATCTTTCTTCTTGTACTTCTTTTTTGGGCTCACCTTATTATCGCACCACCTACTACTACCCTAAAGCTGAATGGGATTATTTCCGTGATTTTCTTCGTGATGGTCCTTGAGCTGATGTTTTTTCTCTCTCAGCTGAGAAATGCGCCTCCTACATAACCTCCTGGATTTAGGCTGGAATGGAAACTTTTATTCTTTCTCGTCGGTTTCAAGTCAAGCCTCATTCTACTCCATGGTTTTCTCCATCTTGTGCAGCTGCTATATCCAATTGTAATCATTTTTTTCATCTTTTTCAAAAGAACAACTCTCTTGAGAACTAACGGCTATTTATTATTGCAAGAAATCAATGTAAAAAGGTGCTTTCTGATGCTAAACTCCATTATTCTCAGTTCACTAAACCTCGCATCTTATCACAGAAGTTAGGCTCAAAATACTTTTGGAAAGTCTTCATCAGCATTATTAACAAGGGTAGATCTAACATTTCATCTCTCATTCATGGGACTGATTTTATTACCTCTCCCAAGGATAAGGCAGAACTATTTGCAAAGAACTTTTCTTTTAATTCCACTCTTGAATCTTATGGACATTCTCTTCCTTCCATTCCAGTCAAACAGGTTGAACCATTGTTAGACATTCAAATCACTCTGGCTTCTGTTGCTAAAGTCATATCTCAATTAAACTCGTCTACAGCTACAACATTCCTGTCACAGTCTTGCAGAATTGTTCTCCAAAAAAATTTTTTTTTTTTAGTTATTCACCTCCTCAAGGCCAAACAAGGCCGCGGGGAGAAACAAGTTGACTGAGTCTTGTTTTCCTGCTTTTTGGAAAATGGCATCTGTAGTTTCAATAATCAAAAACTCTGGAGAAAATTGACCCCTACAATTATCGTCCGATCAGTCTTCTTTCTGTTGTTAGCAAGGTCTTTGAGTCTTTGATCAACAAATTCCTCACATCCCATCTTGAGTCAAATAAACTACTGTCAGACAATCAATACGGTTTTCGATTCTCTCGCTTTATGGCCGACTTGCTAACTGCTGTAACTGAAAGATTTTATCGTGCATAAGATGGAGGCGGTGAGGCTAGGGTTAATGCTCTTGACATATCTAAAGCTTTTGACAAAGGTTGGCATGCTGGTCTTCTCCATAAGCTTGCTTCATGTTGTGTTTCTGGGAAAGTTTTTAAGATTAATAAATCGTTTCTTTCTAACCGGTTTATTAAAGTCATCCTTGAAGGCCAACACTCTTCTTTATTTCCAGTAACTTCTAGGGTTCCCCAAGGTTCCATCCTGGGCCCTGTTTTGTTTTTTATCTACATAAACAATCTTCCTGACAACCTTTCATCTAAAGTAACTCTTTTTGCTGATGACTCAACTTTATACTCCTGTCTTGACAAAAAGTCTTCTCTTTTCGATCGCCTAGAACAAGCAGCTGATCTTGAATCCGATCTCACTTCAGTAATAGATTGGGGTTCACAGTGGCTTGTGAATTTGAACTCTAACAAAATCCAGTTGTTTACTGCAAACAACTACCATAATATGGTCAACATTCCTATATTAATGAATGGCAATCCTCTTACTGAGTCCTCCTCTTTACGTCTTCTTGGATTATCGCTTACTACTGACCTTTCATGGAAACCATATATACAATCGATTGCTAAATTAGCTTCTGCTAAGGTTGCTTCTCTTTATCGTGCTCGCCATTTCCTTACTTCTGATTCCATTCTCTACCTCTACAAATCTCTTATTCGTCCCTGTATGGAATACTATTGTCATATTTGGGCTGGTTCTTCTAACGATTCACTTTCTCTTCTTGACAAGGTCCAAAAACGCATTGACAATGTTGTTGGACCTGGACTATCTGCTAAGCTTGAACCTCTTTCCCATCGTCGTAAAGTTGCATCTCTTTCTTTTTTCTGCAAATACTATCATGGTCAATGCTCAAAGGAGTTATCATCTCTAGTTCCATCAACTAAAATTCATTCTCGTTTTACTCGTCATTCAGCTAAGTCTCATTCGTTTACTGTATCTGTCCCTGCATGCTCTAAAAACTTTTATTTATCTAGTTCTTTTCCCCGCACTTCAATCCTTTGGAATTCTCTCCCATCTTCATGTTTTCCTGACTCATACAACCTTCAACTTTTCAAGTCTTCTGTCAACCGTTTCCTTGCTCTATAACTCTGTTCTTTTTTTTCCTAGTAACTCCCAACTTAATAGTGGTTGCTTGCAGCCTTGTTAGGAGTGAATGCAAATAAAAAAAATAAAAAATATACCATATGACAAATCTGAAATATATAAGTTAATAAAATTATATATAAGTATAAAAGGAAACATAATATATAAAAACTGGGAACCAATTTACATGTTTTTTAGTTGTTGTTAAGTCATCAGTGAGTCATTAAATATAAACATCACATATAAAACATCACATATAAAAACTGAGAACCATCACATAAAAACTGAGAACCAATTTACATATTTTGTAGTTGTTGTTGTTTAGTCATAGAAGCAGTGAGTTCCAATTATAAAAAAATCTTAAAATTATTTTATCGATAAAAATTAAATATGTAAAAAGTATTAGGTATCATAAAAAGTAATACAGTAAATGTTCACAGTCATGCAGAGTGTAACTGTTCACAGTTATGCAGATTGTAACTGTTCACAGTCATGTTCACAGTCATGCAGAGTGTAACTGGGAAGTATAAAAGTATCAGAGATAAAATAGTATTTTATTAGTAGTTTTCATGTGGTCTGTATAGCAAGATGAATATACATTATAGATTCATGTTTTAAAAAAACAATCTATTAAACCATTTTGTGAAGCATATTGCTAATGTTTAGAGCATTTTAAACTTTAATTAGATTGCTTCTTACAACTGAAACACACTTTCAGTAGATTGCTCTTTTCTTACAACTGAAAGTATTTGTCTTAAGTCCCCACCCATAAGAATAACCGCCAAAAGGAAACTTGTTATTGCAAACTAGTGGCTTTTAAAGCATGTTTGGGTATCATGGATGTCTATTCTGCAGCTTTCAGAATTAAATAACTGTTTACTTCAACAGTTGTAAATATTTTATTAAAACTGACAGGAAATCCATCTAAAAAAGCATTTTATATTGTTTATTTTCATTACTAGGTTGCTTGCCTAGTACAGCAAGAATAGCAGTAAAATTGGACTTATTTGTATTGATTATCATTTAATAACATGATTTGCTTCATTAATAGCATCTTCTAAACAACTTTGTAATCATTTTCAGGGACTTATTTTTAAAAAAACTTCTCCAAAAATTTAGATTATAATCAGTTAAAGCTTTACCACTCTAATTAGTTCAAGATTTGATCAATATCAGTCATACTTGCTTGTTCAGCAAGTATGACTGACATTGATGATGAGTTGCTTGCTCAGCAAGTATGACTGACATTGATGAAGAGTTGCTTGTTCAGCAAGTATGACTGACATTGATGAAGAGTTGCTTGCTCAGCAAGTATGACTGACATTGATGAAGAGTTGCTTGTGCAGCAAGTATGACTGACATTAATGAAGAGTTTGTTGCTCAGCAAGTATGACTAACATTGAATGTAATTCATTAAACCTTTAAAGATTTAAAGGTTAAAGAAAAGTTAAAAACATAACACAACAAAATATTATGATTTATATTAAATATTTTATGAGCGTAAATTTATATGCATAAAATATGCATTATATCAATGAGTATAGTAAAAATTGAAGTTAAAAAACTATTAAGTATTAAAAAATATTAAACTAGTTTTTTTTTTAAGTATTAAAAATTTTTATATTTATCAATAAAGATTAAATATCAATTTATAATAAGATCATAAGATATATAAATAAAATATATAAATAAGCCATAAGATCTTAAAAAATCTAAAAGTATTCTATTTATTTTTGATAAAAGTATTTTTATTATTTTTAAGTTATCAAGTTGAAATCAATATGTTTTGAGTATATATAAATATGCTACTACTATATGATAAAAATTTCCAATATTAAAAATTGTAATGAACTGATTAAATGGTGATTTCCACAGAACTGGAAAACAAGATAAAAAAATAACATTAACAGCATAAACCTTACAACAATAAAAATAAGAAATGTATTTAACATTTTATTCAATCAATAGTTTTACATATGTTAACCAAACTGTTTAAGGCTATAGAAAAAGCAATTTAAAGTGAAATTGGAAAATGATGGCGGGTACTTTACAACAAATTATATTACTTACTTGTCATAATATGAAAACTTAATTTTTGTAGAAATAAAAACTGATTATGTAATTATCATTGTAAAAAAAAATCATTACAGTTGAATGAGTGGTTTTTGAGAAAACTCAATTTAAAATTGTCTAAATTTTGTCACAATATTTTTTTACCACTCTATTGTATTTACACACACAAACACATATTACAGGGTATTTATTTTGCCTCAATAAATCTCCTTCATAGTTTGATAATGGCCATCCAAATCCTCGGTTGTAGTTTTAAAAGAAATTTTTTTAATTATAAATGCATTTTTATTTCTATATATTAGGTGAATTGTTACTAGTTATGGTAGTCAGTCTGTTTGACTGTTTTGTAATGCAGAATCACATGGTTGTAGCTGTTGCATCTGACCAGGTATATCAGTTATTTGATTATCTACTAGTGTGCTTTTTAATGTAATATATAAAGCATGTTAAAATAAAATAGTATAATATTATACCTATAATATTGTGATAATATTTATATTATTATGATAATATAATATTGATGTTTTTTTGTTTTTTGTTTGATATATTGATTATTATTTGTTACATCGATATATATACAATATAAAATTGATTTAATTAAAGGAGATAAAAAAAATATTTATACTTAAATGTTTTCTCAAATTTTTAAAGATTTAATCAAAAAAAAAAACGATAATAAACTAAATACCAATTCAAGTTCAAAATGGAAAAATTTGTTACTGATTTGACCAGGAAAGGCTAAGCTTATCATTACTTAGATAAACTCATGTAAAATTCAAAAAGTTTATTTTAGAGTAAACAATTTTATTAAATTCTTACAAACTGAGTTAAAGTTATCTATAATATTCAAAACTAGCTGTCATTACCGGTAAAATATGGGTCTTGGTATATCTATTCCAAACCAACCTTTTCTATGCTTGCAAACTTTTTTATACTTCCACACCAACCTTTTCTATACTTTCTATACTTACTAAAATATTTTTTGTAAACGGTAAAAAAATAACTATAGAAAAATTATACTTATTGTATACTTTTTACAGCTGAAATGAAAAAAAAAATTTTTTTATAATTAATTTAAAAAAACTTTAAACATTTTGGTAGCTGTTGCGCCAATGGCTATTTATCAACGGATTGGTACCAGGTCTAAATAATATTTAGTATACTCACTTTGAATGTGTTAATTAATTACCATCGGTATAAAAAGCTTCTAAAAACATGATATGACTAAAATATCTGAAATAATGGACTTACTATGACTTGTATAATACTGATCAGTCCATATTCTACACTGACCACTTTAATAATTTCACTTTATTTCAATAACTTTTAAAAAAGAGCAAAGTATAAAAATCTTTGATTTTTTTTTTTTTTTTTTTTTTTTTTTATTATTTGCATTCACTCCCAACAAGGCTGCAAGCAACCACTATTAAGTTGGGAGTTACTAGGGAAAAAAAAAGAACAGAGTTATAGAGCAAGGAAACGGTTGACAGAAGACTTGAAAAGTTGAAGGTTGTATGAGTCAGGAAAACATGAAGATGGGAGAGAGTTCCAAAGGATTGAAGTGCGGGGAAAAAAACTAGATGAATAAAAGTTTTTAGAGCATGCAGGGACAGATACAGTAAACGAATGAGACTTAGCTGAATGACGAGTAAAACAAGAATGAATTTTAGTTGATGGAACTAGAGATGATAACTCCTTTGAGCAGTGACCATGATAGTATCTGTAGAAAAGAGAAAGAGATGCAACTTTACGACGATGGGAAAGAGGTTCAAGCTTAGCAGATAGTCCAGGTCCAACAACATTTACAATGCGTTTTTGGACCTTGTCAAGAAGAGAAAGTGAATCGTTAGAAGAACCAGCCCAAATATGACAACAGTATTCCATACAGGGACGAATAAGAGATTTGTAGAGGTAGAGAATGGAATCAGAAGTAAGGAAATGGCGAGCACGATAAAGAGAAGCAACCTTAGCAGAAGCTAATTTAGCAATCAATTGTATATATGGTTTCCATGAAAGGTCAGTAGTAAGCGATAATCCAAGAAGACGTAAAGAGGAGGACTCAGTAAGAGGATTGCCATTCATTAATATAGGAATGTTGACCATATTACGGTAGTTGTTTGCAGTAAGCAATTGGGTTTTTTTAGAGTTCAAATTCACAAGCCACTGTGAACCCCAATCTATTACTGAAGTGAGATCAGATTCAAGATCAGCTGCTTGTTCTAGGCGATCGAAAAGAGAAGACTTTTTGTCAAGACAGGAGTATAAAGTTGAGTCATCAGCAAAAAGAGCTACTTTAGATGAAAGGTTGTCAGGAAGATCGTTTATGTAGATAAGAAACAAAACAGGGCCCAGGATGGAACCTTGGGGAACCCCAGAAGTTACTGGAAATAAAGAAGAGTGTTGGCCTTCAAGGATGACTTTAATAAACCGGTTAGAAAGAAATGATTTGATAATCTCAAAAACTTTTCCAGAAATACCATATGAAGCAAGCTTATGGAGAAGACCAGCATGCCAAACTTTGTCGAAAGCTTTAGATATGTCGAGAGCAATAGCCCTAGCCTCACCGCCTCCATCTAATGCACGATAAAATCTTTCAGTTACAGCAGTTAGCAAGTCGGCCGTAGAGCGAGAGGATCGAAAACCGTATTGATTGTCTGACAGTAGTTTATTTGACTCAAGATGAGATGTGAGGAATTTGTTGATCAAAGACTCAAAGACCTTGCTAATAACAGAAAGAAGACTGATCGGACGATAATTGGAGGGGTCAGAATTTTCTCCAGAGTTTTTGAATATTGGAACCACAGATGCCATTTTCCAACAAGCAGGAAAACAAGACTCAGTCAAACACTTGTTAAATAGTTTAGAGAGAATTGAAGAAAGTTCTGGAGAACAATTCTGCAAGACTGTGACAGGAATGTTGTCTGGACCACAAGCTGTAGACGAGTTTAATTGAAATATGACTTTAGCAACAGAAGCCAGAGTGATTTGAATGTCTAACAATGGTTCAACCTGTTTGACTGGAATGGAAGGAAGAGAATGTCCATAAGATTCAAGAGTGGAATTAAAAGAAAAGTTCTTTGCAAATAGTTCTGCCTTATCCTTGGGAGAGGTAATAAAATCAGTCCCATGAATGAGAGATGGAATGTTAGATCTACCCTTGTTAATAATGCTGATGAAGACTTTCCAAAAGTATTTTGAGCCTAACTTCTGTGATAAGATGCGAGGTTTAGTGAACTGAGAATAATGGAGTTTAGCATCAGAAAGCACCTTTTTACATCGATTTCTTGCAATAATAAATAGCCGTTTGTTCTCAAGAGAGTTGTTCTTTTGAAAAAGATGAAAAAAATGATTACGATTGGATATAGCAGCCGCACAAGAAGGAGAAAACCATGGAGTAGAATGAGGCTTGACTTGAAACCGACGAGAAGGAATGAAAGCTTCAATTCCAGCCTGAATGCAGGAGGTTACGTAGGAGGCGCATTTGTCAGCTGAGAGAGAAAAAACATCAGCCCAAGGACCATCACGAAGAAAATTACGAAAGGAATCCCAGTCAGCTTTAGGGTAGTAGTAGGTGGTGCGATGATAAGGTGAGCCCAAAAAAGAAGTACGAGAAGAAAGATTTATAGAGATGATTGCATGGTCAGAACCACCTAAGGGAGAAAAGGGAGAAACTGAACATAAGCTAGGGTCAGAGACAAGACATAAGTCAAGGAGTGAAGGTAAATGATTAGGGTTGTAGAGTGAAGGTAAATGATTAGTGTGATGGGCATTAAAATCACCAACAACAACAATATTGGCAGAGGGGTAAAGAGAGAGGGCATGGTCAATTTGATCAGAGATAACATCTAAAAGAGTGCAATCATGGGAAGAAGGAGAACGATAAAGAACAAAGAGAAAGGTGATAGAGTGAAGAGGTGCTAGGCGAAAGCACATAAAAGAATGGTCAAAGGATTCGAATCTGATTCCACGACAAATAGGGGAATTAATGCGTATGTATACCCCTAAACCTAGCATGTGACTATTGGAGTTATTACGAATCAAAGGATAGTACCCATCAACACTGACATCTGAAGAAGGAATTGCAGAATTTAAATTTGTTTCACTGAGTGCAAGCAAGTCTGGTGAATTTTGCAGGAGGTAAGACTCAACTGATGGAAAGTTGCTTCGTAGACCGCGAATATTTGTAAAAGATATATTAAAATATTTAGGTGGTGGTGATAGTTTTTTAGGTTTTAAATTTTTGGTTACTTTGGTCATGATTTGGGTTTAATGAGAACTTGACTCACTCATAGATAGAGCACAGCCTCCTAATCAATGAGCTATGCAGTTGTCTCAGTCCTGTTAATTAACCCTAAGCCGTGACATAGGGCTCCTTATGTGGCCTTGACAATGCACACCAAAAGCATTAACAGGGACACCATCCATGCGCAACATGGCACTGTTAATACTCTGATATTTTGCAGCTGTTGATGGAATCAGCTTCTCTGAGAGCTACCACAGAGTTCGGGAAACCTACTACCAGCCGGCCTCAGAACCATTAAACTGAGTTTTAGAGCTGTACCCTCATATGGAGATAACAGGAAGAGTTGCATAGCCATTATCAAGGAGGCATAAGCAAAATTCTATGAGTAGAGTCAAGGAGATCCAGCATTCATCATCCTAGGCAGGAAACAATGTAACACAGGTTACATCTACGCCAGCCTAGTAGATGAAGAAGGGGTTCGAGGCTGGTTAGCAGAATTTTTCTGCTTACCCCAAAAGTCTTTGCCTAGGAGGCCTTCTACAAGACAGTAGCAGGATGCAGTTAACATCTGCCCAAGATGAGTATTTTTATCGAGACACCATCTCTAGCCTTTACTCAACCAAGAGCCCCAAGGCAGGGGATGTTTAGCTGGATGCAGTTAATATCTGCCCAAGATGAGTGTTTTTATCGAGACACCATCTCTAGCCTTTACTCAACCAAGAGCCCCAAGGCAGGGGATGTTTAGCTGGATGCAGTTAATATCTGCCCAAGATGAGTGTTTTTATCGAGACACCATCTCTAGCCTTTACTCAACCAAGAGCCCCAAGGCAGGGGAATTTTTAGTCGGAGTTTATTTCTCCCAGTCTTTGCATAAGAAGAGCACACTCTGCAAGGCAGCAGGGCTTGTGGCAGGTGGTACTGGGTTACGTGATACCATTAGCAAGATTGATCTCGATTATCCTGACCTGACCTGGAGTAGTTAAAAGGAGTTATTTCCCGCAACAGTACTTTGAGAAAACCAGGCATGACATTTTGGAAATGCATTAGGAAAAACACTGCATCTAACAAAATACAGGAGTCTAAGGTGAGTGTACGATTTGAGTTAACGATTAATGTTCAATACTTTATAACTTCTGTAAACTTCTAGAAAAAAAAAAAAAAAACAGAGACTTTTTTTTTTTTTTTCAAGTTTGCATGTAAAAAAAATTTTCTATAAGAAAGAAAGTTGTATCTTTAATGCACAGTCTTTTCTAGTTACTAAGCACAATAATAACTTTACTAGTTACTAAGCACAATAATAAATTGAGTATCTCTATCATGACATATGCGCACAAATTTCTAACAATGTTTTCATGTTTTTAGAAATTTTTAATAGCTATTTAAAAAACTCTCTCCCTTTTGTTTGTTATGTTAGCAGATAATATTTATAGGCCTTTAATAATGTTTTACTTTCTATTCTAGAAAATTAAAAAAGATTTTAAAAAAAAAAAAATTTAGGTGTCTAAACGAAAAGATTTGAACTCACACGAAGCACTTCAATTATTTTGGCATACTATAACATCTTTTAACACTATTTAATCTTTAACTCTATATTTTAATTTTTTTTAAAAAGGGAGGGGGGAGAGCTTTTGCTCTAAATTTAAGCCCTCATCTTATGTGCCTTATGAGTTGTGGGATGTATTTCCTTATATTTTCAATATGCTGAAAATTTTTTTTCATTTTAGATATATCTAAAATAAATAAAAAACTTATGACATGATAAAAGAAGGAAAATCATTTTAACACTACAAACCAATTTACCTATTGCATATGTTTTTTCTAAAGCATTGTTAAAAATAGTCAAAATTTGCAAGAAAATACATTTTCGCAAAGACAATTAGTTACTACACAAAATAACGAAAAAATAACATGTAAGCTATAGATGCAAACAAATAATTATAATTCCACCAGAAAATAAAAATATTCCTACCTTGATTGCGACAAACTAATTTTTTTTTAAACTATTAGCTAATGATCAACATAGTAAAACTTTAAATAATTAAAGTTAAAACCATATTTTAACAGTAGACAAAGTAATCAAATGATAGTTGGTAGAGTACCAAAGTTGAACTAAAAAAATTATATAACAACTAAATTTAAAAAATTTCCAGTTAAACATGACAAATAACTCTACCATCATGAGATAATAAAAGTAAAATTATAAAAACAAACAATAAAGTTGATAAAAAAAAGAATATAGTAAAATGTTTATTTTTTATTTTTAAATAAGATCCTTTTAATCAAAAAAAAGTAATTTTTTCATCAACAGATTAGGACACATCAATATAGAACATACACAGTGAAAAGCAAATGTGATTTTTAAGTTCTTTTACAAACTTATTGTAGGTACTTATTAGTTATCGCTTAATTAAGTGATTATTGTTAAAAATTTTGAAAAATGTTTGTGCGCACCTAAAGTCCACTGGTAACATTTAACACTAATCAGGATGCATAGTTGGACAAAACCTTCATTTGCTATAAAACAATAAAATATTACTTAAGATTTTATTACAAAAGTTATTAAAAGGTCTCATTCTGAACATAAAAACTACAAACTTTTAGTATAGTATGACTATTTAAAACATAAGTGTGGCAGAGTGGAACATAATAACAAGGTAAAGTGGAACATAATGACGAGGCAGAGTGGTATTGAGGCAGGGTGGAACATAAAAATTAAATTGTAAAAGTAGAAAAAATCAGGATCTTATATTTAATAGATTATTTTGAAATGGGCTAAATGAGAATTGTCAATTGTCATTTAACACTTTCTAAATTTGTTACTAATTGTTAATAGTTACCTCCTAATTAAGTGATTATTATTAATTACTTTGAAAATTATCAAATGCAATTTAAACTAATCACTAAATTTAAACTGACATTACTGACATGGAGAATCATAAACACCACCACAGCAGCAAATTATTTTAATATTTTGCATCTTCTGCTGACTGAAATTTTAATCGTGTTTAGTGTAGAAACAGAATGTTCAACAAAAATATTTTATAAAAATAACTTAATATTAAAAAAAAAAAAATAAAGAAACAAAGTTAGTATTTGTTTATAAACAAAATTTAACAAAAAGGTTAATAAAAATGTACATATTAAACTAAAAACATTTAATTACACCTTTGTTTTGTAGATGCAGTATTTTCCCCTTCTTACTTTAACTCCACCCACTTTTGGCAAGGGTAATCTTTTCCCCTTTACTGAGGGAAAACCTTTTTATTTGTACTGGGCCCTCACCTTATCTGCACTATAGGATGTGGGCCCTTATAAAAAAAAGAATAACCTAAAATAAAGGAAAATAAAAAAAGGAACAATTGAAATAGCTGAATGATATTTTAGTTTTAGATTAAAAAAATTGAAAAATACATACTATTTGTAAATAAAAGTAAATAAATCAAAGTATATTCAATAATTTATTTTATGATAATGATGGGGGAAGGGGGGGGGATAAAAGAACTATAACACTTAAAATTTCTTTATTACTTTTTAGGTAATTTTAACTTTTAATTTTATATTAAGATAATAAATTTAATAAGTTGGTTCATTTTAAATATAAAATTAAAATTTTTAATTATGTTCTTAATAAAAGCATATTATTTAAACCCTCTTACTGTGTTTAAAAAAAGTTTTGGTCGATGTGTGGCAAGTTCAAATCATCAGCTTACTTTTTTATAAAAATTTTCATTTAAAATGAAAAAAAAAAAAAGCAAATTTATAGCTCTCTTTTTAAAAGTTTTTTCTTTTGTATTTTAGAATAATCAAAAAAGATAAAAAAAAAAATAATTCCAACGATAGGGTTTGAACCTCGGTGCTCTGCTTGTTTAACAATTATTTAACAAAAACAAAAGACATGTTAAAACTGAATCAACCACTTGAGATCAAAATTTAGGATATGTTAGCAATGCAAGTTAGCAATAAAACTGTAAAACTTGATATTATATAATAAAATATTTAAAGTAAAATAGAATATAGAACATAATCAAAAATACTTTTGCATACACTTTCATTCAAAGATATTTGCAAACACTTTCGTTCACGTATTCTTATGAAACAAAGTGCTGCGACTCTTTCTTGCCATTACCTTGGTTGTAATGGCTGCTAAGAGTTTTGTGTCAAACACGCTTGAAAGGGCACTACTAATACTATTAAGTTCAGCATTATTATAAAGAGATTAAAATTAACTTAAAATTATAATGGAGTTGTATCTAAAACTGTGAAGCAGTTAAATTCATTCATAGAACAATATCAGTGTGAGAGGAGTATTTGTTTAATTATTTCATTGTTTAATTATTAAAAAAATCCAAAAATATGCATCAAAGGACTAGACAGAGCTGTCAAGCCCAAGTGAAATAAGGAAAAAATTAGGAACATAAAAAGATAAATAAGTTTAAAATAATTAAAAAGATATTATGAACAGATCTTCAGAGCAAAATAAAGATACTGAAGTAATATTAGAAAAGTTACTGAAGTGTATATTAGAAAATAATAATTATAATTTAGACATAGCGCATGTAATAGAAATAATAAACTCAGATACTAAATGGAAAATTATAACCAACGTGTAAGGTCTAAAGAACAAAGTTAAAATAAAAGTTAAACAAGATAGACTCAAAGGTAAACATAATATGCTCAGAGCGGGAATCGAACCTGGAATTCAATGATTACCAGGTCAATGCTCTAACCGATCAAGCTATAGATGTTCACATTGATACAAGATAATAAACTTAATAAAATAAACAATAAAAATAAATGACAATAAATAAAATAGTGTATATATAAAGTAAAAACAAAGTGCTAAAATATGTATATATTTACACACATACATATATACACACATACACACAAATACATACCCATACACATTCAAAAAAAAAAGGGAATATAGAGACAAACATGCATAAAAAGTATATATCATAAATCTAAACGATAAACAGTAATATAAAGTGTACAAAAAATTTTTAGTGTAAATACACATAAGGATATAAAAAGTGAAATATATATAAGTATCTTACCATATTCTATAAGTAATAAAAAAATTTTTTAAGAAGTGGGTAGCTTATTACCGTATCTGATAGATCCATAAAACAAGAAAAAAATTTCATCAATGTAACGTTTTTAAAATGAAACTGAATTTGGGAACTGGGTTTGTGTTTTATCATCTAAATTACCCATAAACAAGTTAGCATATTGTGGTGCCATTCTTGTACCCATTGATGTACCATCAATTTGTTGGTAGAACCTATTAGCAAAGTGGAAAACGCTAGGTGCAAGAATGGTTTCTAAAATTGTATTAATATAGGCAAAAAGTGGGCATAATGGTGGTCTCTGATGAGTTGGAATTTGTTTTATATAAAAGATGGTAGCTTCAATTCCTTCTTGATGTGGGGCATTGGTATAGAGTGATGTGACATCTGCTGTTACAAAAATATAGTTAGAAGAGGTGAAAAATATAGTTAGGATTGGTGGGATTGAAGCATATGAAGAAAATGAGAAGTATCTTTGATATATGGTTGCACTGGTTGCATAAAGTAACTGATTAACTTAGATAAATTGTCTGTTGGGCCATTACATACTGAAACAATAGGTCGTAAGGGTATACCCTCTTTGTGAGTTTTTGGTAATCCCAAAAAATAAGGCAACAACAGGGTGTATCAGGTCATAAAAAATTTGCTGTTGTTTTGTTGATTATGTAGTGGACAGCCATGTATTTATAATTATAGTTGATATTATGACCAACCAAATAATTTAGTTTTGTTTAATTATTTAATTGTTTAATTATTAATTTAGTTGATATTAAAAATATAAATTTTTAAATTTTTGTTTAAGTTTTATCTTTATAAAAAATTTTAGTTTGTAAGTTTTTTTTTAAGTAATGAAAGAAATGTTTAACTGTTTTTGTTTTTTGCAACTTTCTACAAGCTGAGTGAGCTTTGTAAACATCTTGATAAAAGTTTGCACCACTTGTTTATTGATCACAAAAGTTATTTCTGTGACATCATCGTCAGAAAAATGCAAAACCTTTTAGAAGATAAAAAAGATGTACAATGCGTAACAGATACTATTTTTGATATTGCTAAGCATTTCGAGTTTAATGATGTCAAGTCTTTTTTAATGGTAAATCTGTTTGTAAATTTTATATCAAGCATTTGTAAATATTATATTGTACATATGTTAAGTTTGTATTTATATTTTATATATGTTATGTTTGTATTTATACTTTACATATGTTGTGTTTGTGTTTATACTAAACATTTACAAATACTATATATTACATGTTTATATTTACATTTGATTTAATTTCTAATAGTTGGATTTTTTAATGTTTTTGGTTTTGCAAAATTATTGTTGTTGTAATAGATTACTTCAACTGAGATGCTTCCAAAAATTGTTATGAAGGCATCACCTCAATCTTCTGCACTCCTACGATTGTTTGCAAAGCTTACTAATCAGAATAGACGTGAGATGATGTTCAACAATTTTACATACATTTTTTCATATCTCATCAGATCTATTGTTAAACATGATGAACTCGAAGTTTGCTTGCGCTTCTTACAGGTTTTTTTATTCTTAAATTTTCACGGTGTTTACATGTATTATTTTTTACTTCATTAAAGTTATATGTTTTAAACTTTTTTAGTTTTACCTATTTCATATTATCTTTTGTTTGTGAGAAAGTATTAAAACCCAATAGTAATAAGCAAATATTTTAGCCTTATATATATTTTGATTCAACTAAAATGCTACCTTTTTATAAAATATTACATGATTATATATACCATATTCCCCAGAGAGATATTATAACTATTTTTTTAACTTTTTAATTATCTATTTACAAAACTGGCTAATTACCTCATTAGCTAAAGTAACCTCTAACTAAGGTAACTAGCTAATTATCTTATTAGCTAAGGTAACCTCTAACTAAGATAACTGGCTAATTACCTCATTAATTAAGGTAACCTCTAACTAAGGTAACTGGCTAATTATAACCTTTAAGGTCAGATACTAGAGAAGTTTATATTACAATATTATTATTTACATTTAAGTATTATTTACCTTTTGAACATTTATCCTTTTGAATTAGTAATCAATATCTTTTGGATTACTTGGCTCAAGAGGGCATAACTTAGTTATCGAAGGTTTCAAGATAATCTTCCCAACTTGAACATTAGCTACTTGTACTAACCCATTGTTTCCAGGGAAAACCTCCATACTTTAACAAGTGCTCAATTGCCTCTTGAAATATTTTTTGAATATCACTTATATTATATTGTCTATTGATAAGTTACCCATTACACCATGCCATTTTTTTCCTGGTCCAGGCATGGGTTCTTTAATCCAACAATACCAAAAATCCATTATTAATTCTTGAACCCAATGCCACCTTCTTCTTGGGTTGATAAATGATTGGGTGTAAGAGGTGTGCAGGTTTTAGGATCACTCAATTGGTTAGTTGATGGTATTGAACTTATAAGCCTTTCTGCTCCAGTAAGCATTGTGATAAGTTCATTATTGATATTCTCATTTTCCAGGAATAAAATTTGCTCGTTTGTGCGTTTTATCATAATTGTCATGAACTACTTTGTAATGAAGGGCTGCTGGTGGGTTAAAATGCCATTTAATACCAATATGGCTCATTACCTCATTTGTTTTTTTTCCTTTTGCATTCTGAACACTTTGCTTCCTATTGTTTTATCTCTTCTCTTCCAGATACAATCCAATACTTAAGAGACAACTCCACCAGATTTTAATTTAAACCTCAGATATGATTTGTGGCAATCTTTTACAATGGTTATGTGGTTATTTCTTGGCAAAATAGTTGTGTTTCTTGTATTAAATCAGAAAAATTAGGCATACTTTTATCGGTTGTTGCATTTTAAAAAATTATTTTCATCTATTCAAGGCAATTATTTTAAAGAACAAATAGCTTTAAATATTTCTTTGTTAATTTTTAATTATTTGTACTCTTCCAAATATGATTTCTTTTGAGCAATCATGATAAATTCTGTTTTCGCATCATTTATATTCTTTGTTAAGAGTGTTCCTGATGATAAATATTTTTCATTACATTTTATTACAGTTGTTTAGGAGCCTTCATACGCAGACTAAGATTTGTGTTAAAGGGATCCCAAACTCCCAACACATGTTGTATTCATATTTAAGATGTTAAAAAAAAGGTTTGAACCAAGTTTTTTTGATTAAAAATAAATAATGAATGCATACCAAGAAAAACTAATGTTGTTGTTTTAGCCAAAACTCGCCTTCTCCATTTTATTCAATAACTCAGAGTCTTCAAATTATATGTCACAATCTACAGACTTCAACAATTCCTTTGAAGCGCGTTTAATTCATAAAAGTTTTAGTATTTGACGTCATGGTAGAATTTTAACAAATGAAAAGTGTAATTAAACAAAGCTGCGTTTTTCTACTTTAATTCAAAAAGTGTGATGTATTATTTTTTTAACATACAGCAAAACAAATTTGTTTGTATTATTTTTCTAAACATGGCAAAAAAAAAATTAACAATTACTTTCATTAACTGACATATTAATTAGAGATATTTGATGAATTGTTAAATTTTTTTATTATAAAAATTTTTTGATTACGTTGATTTAATTTAAATTGCTAAATTTGCTGAATTTGGATAAAAAGGAATTTTCATTTTATATTGCATTTTATTTTTGATAACGAAACTTTTAAAATATCGGCATTTCCATACCAATTAGAACCTGTTAAGGTTATGAAAAAAAAGTACAAGAATATACTAAACAATGCAGTTGACAGTAGTATCAAATATGAAAATTCGTGAAAGGATATGTGAGATCCTGGTTTTGCATTAAAAGTACAATTAATAGCAACACAAGTTGGCATTATAAATTTTGATTGTAAGTTTACTGTTCAATATTTTATAACCATCAAATTAAAAACATGAAATACATATATTTCGCCTGTTTTATACAACTAATATTTAACAAAAATACTGTCAAATTATTATTAGCGCAATAATTAACACATTAATTAATGGCAATAATTCGTTAGGTGGTAATTTAAATTGTCAAAATGTTGTAACGCGCATTAAAAAACATATTATATTTGGTATTTCACAATTTGTGTGTCATATTTGGCATTTGCCTATTAACAAGGAAAATTAAAAAACTAACAAAATTGACAAATACAAGTTTTTAAGCAATTTTTTTCTCCAATTCTCATTTATTCAAAGAAAATTTACTATTAAACTTTTATTTCCCTTATCTAAAAAAAGAACGCAAAAAAATTTATATTCTATACAGCTCTTATACATTCAAAGTTTAATTACGCGAAACTTTTCTTTCTCTTTTGTTCTACTTTTTTATAAAAAGATGCGCACGATGAAATAAAAACTTTTTTTTCTGAACATAGAATTAAACTTAGAGATAAAATTAAATTAGAAAAAAATCAACAATGAGCAAAGCAACTAACAGTTTAATCTGGGACTATTTAGATATTAATGAAAATAATCAATATAAAAAACATTACCAACAACAAAAATCAATCAAAACAACACAATATCGCATGATTTTAGGGGGTTTTTATTTTTATTGCTTAGTCGTTCTAAATAATAAGTAAATTAGGTTCAAGTTAATATTTCAATATTTACAGTTGCAATATATATAAAAAAAAAAAAATTAACAAGCCTTCCCTGTAAAGGCGTTTTTTGTCTCGTACGACCACGAAAACGTTTTTCAAGTTAGAGAACGTGATCACGGCCGTTTGCGCAAGTTTTATTTAATGCTGAAAAATTGTTTTAAATTTAATAACTACATAAGAAATTAAAGTAAACTTAAATAGAAAACAATAATTATAGTTTAAATAATTTGTGTGTTGTTTTTATTTTTGTTTTTTCTTAGTGGTTATTATTATCAGTAACAAAATTCAGAAAGTCAAAGCAACAACAAAAAAAGAAAAAAAATGTTTTAGGCACTAAAAAGGATGACTTTCCCATTTTTTATGTGTTTTTTCTTTTAAAGAGGAAAGAGAAAATATGTATCATCACCTGTTTGTAAAATATATTTGTATAATTATAATGTAACAAGTTTATATCAAGAGTTAAATTATACGATTGCGATTTGCAAACTCTGGTAAAATATTAGATCTTTAAAATTTTAGTTCATGTAAAGCTGTGTACTTTGTTTATAAGGAGCAAATCATTAAAAGTTTGCTAGCGAGAAAGTTACAAAAAACAAAACAAAAACAGTAAACTTACGACAACAAAAGTAATAACACTTTAGTCACTAACTTCATTATAAAAGTAATAAAACTATAATAGTGTTATTACATTTATAAAACACTTATTACTTTTAAAGTTTATTCTTTGTTCAAACAACATTAATTCCAAACATATATTAAAGTAGAAAAGCATCTATAAAAAATAAAGCGGATATTCAAATACTATTAAAAATTTCAGGAACTTTCACAGATCACTTAAACAACGTTATAAAAAAGTACTTTATAAAAAGCATTATGAAAAACGTTACATAAAAACGCGCTTTAATTTTAAAATCAACCAATAAAAATTTTTTATTGGTTAATAATAGTGTTATTACTTTTTTAATGCAGTTAGTGACTAGAGTGTTATTACTTTTGTAATCGTAACTTTATTGTTTTATTTTTTATTTTTTCGCTAACAAATTTAAGTTGATTCTCCCCTTAAAAACAAGGAACACGGTTTTGTATAAACTAAAATTTCGAATACTATATATTTTTCCAAATTTTTTAATTCAACCCTTGTTGTTACATTAAAATTATACAAATAAATTTTACAAACACATTGCAATTTGTATTTTTGCTATCCTCTTAAAAAAATAGTTAGGAAAAGGAAAATCATTCTTTTTATTTGTAGACTTTAAACTTTTCTTTTTTTTTTTGCTTCGCCTCATCTAATTTTGTTGCTGATTGTAACAACCAATCTAAAGAAACAAAAATAAAAACAGTATACAAATAATTTAAACTATTAATGTTTTTTTATTTTTTTCTATTTTAATCTCTTTTTTTTTTTGATAGTTTTGTTTTTTTTTGTTTTCGAAACTTTTTCAGCATTGATTATTATAAAACTTGCAAACAGCCGTGTTCAAGTTGTCTAAAATAAGATACTCGTGTGTGGTCATACAAGACAAAAAACCGCGCGCCTTTCCTGGGAAGGCTTGATTAATGTTAAACTTTTTATTTAGTTATTTATTTTTTTACCTACATTTGTTGCAAAAAACTTTAGAACCCCTGTCATAAAAATAATTGACCCCCATCATTAAAATAATTTGTTTTAATATATATTACAACGTGATTATTTAAACTAATTTTTTTCATTTCTTAAATTTCATGCAAAGACTTCTTAAACTTCATGCAAAGTGAATTCAGACAAAATATCGTCTGACCAAATAAAAATGCTGTAACTAATTTTATATGGGTAATTATTATAAAACAATTTTTTATCAGAATCTTGATTGAGATAATAGATACTTCATCAATTATTAACATTAAATATAGCGCAATAACAGTTTATAGCAACAAACGAGCATAAAATA